GCACTCATCTTAAAGGGCTTCAAAGGTCCATTTAATGTGAAACTAAAACTTTTTTAAAATAGAGTTTGAACGTTTCATCACTCTTCTGTCAATACAGTCCATATATGGAATCTGAGCTGCAATGAACAGTAAGTCTCCCAAGCAAACTGTTTAATACCATTCATCTCAGGGGGTTATGGCCAAAAATGTATATCAACGGCTAATTAAAATTTCTGATGATTTCGCTACACACCGCTGTGAAACCTATACAGGTACCTGAATATATATGCTGCACCATTTAAGATGGAACGCAAAATTGAATAAGAAACCAACGTGAACTTTGTCAAATTTGTCAAGTTATTTGTCTCATACATGTGTTCCGTACACTCCTGCCTCCGACTGTCTGACGCTGCTTGAATTTGGAGAATATTACAGCCATTAACGCTTCAGTATCAGCTGGTCTAGGCTTGTTTTGTGGCCAAAGCCCCGAGACCACAACATGGTAAGCTGCAGCTTACCCAGTCAGGTGGTTTCTCAGGCAGTACGAGAGAAAGGGTAGCATGGTGTCCATGTCGGGTTAAAGCCAACCCCAAAAGACTGGCCTTTCCTTTATGTCCTCTACTTCAAAAGCAAAGTGGATCATTTCAGATGTAATAGACAAAGCAGCGGGAGGCAAATTAGGGTCTGCTGTGTTTTTATTTACATTTGAAATGTGACTGAAAGACCCCTGTCTCAGCCAAAGGGGATAGTGTTAGCGTCTTGTGCAGTGCTTGGACATCACATTACATCACAGTAATACACTATATGTGGTAGTAGAATAAACACAAATAAACAAATACAAAGACAGTAACAAGTGACAAGATAGTTGCTGATTAGAAGAACACAGCTTTGATTCCAGATGTCACCTCGATTAACCCAGCCATCACAGTGATTTGTTCAAATCCACCACTGGCACACCTGATTAAACATAATAAATTATTTATCAGCCAAGCCAGAAATTGATGATAACAACAAATATGACAGCCATCTAATAAGGAGAGTATTGGAAAATATGGTCTCAACCTACTGTTAATAATGTGTGTTTTATGTAAACTTAAATTTAACTTAATTATTTAACATTCAAATAAGTTGACATTTTAAGTCAGTCTGGTAATTGACTTTTATGTTAAATCCCCTTTTTTACATTGTGGTTAAACAAACACATTGACATACATAAAATTACATTAAATTTGTATGTATTCTAATATTAGTGTTTTTCCAAGCAAAGAAACACTTTCTGCCCAGATAACTGGCTTTTTAAAATATAATTTACTCAGGTGCCTTAAACTTTTGCACAGTACTGTATATCCATTTATACAGCCTACAGCCGTTTAGCTCCATCCATTCACATTGTTACAGGAGTGTTTCAGCCTGGACTGCTTTTTGAAAAAGGCACAGTACATGGCAGCCAATCAGAACAGAGTCCATTTTAAAGGCACAATAACAAAAACAGCCTGTTTAATTCAAAGAGATAAAGAGAGGTTGGAAAGTGGTCATGCAAAGATGAATTATGACTAATTTGGAGCATAAAACCAAACACATCATAAGTGGACCTCAAAAATATATTAGAAAAAGTTGGATATTGCTGGTTTAACAGTGCAGTTATAATATCAGTTATACATACATATGTTACCCCTCTGAGGAAACGTGAAAGCAACCTGAGCACAAATGCAAAACGGCAACAACTACTGCATTAATTTTTCATTAACTGATAAGGCAGCTTTGGACTTTGCAATTAGCAGATTATGAGAGGCTACAATTAATCTAATCTATATAATAAAACAGCTGCTGCATATAAATATACGCTTTGTAGTTATAAAAAGCATCCAGGGCATGTGTGCTCTACTAAAGCGTGGAAATGACAGTTTGTGTCTGCTGTGAACTCGATGACCAGTTTTAGATGTTCCTGTTCACTGTTCCGTGAGAGGTCTGGAGAAAAACAGGTCTGTGTGTCTTCATTCCAGCTGTCCTGAGTTCAGCTATGACAATTGCATCCAATACAACTTTACTGTCAACTTGAAATCAAGGCTGTGATGTTCACTCATTCTGGCCAATCACAGGCATTCATACACAGTGTAATTACACAATCTGTTTAAGTTGCAATTAACAGCCGTAATCAATGGCCACCTTATCACTGCTATTATTTTTGTCGTAATTATGCAGCCATTAGAATAAAATCCTCATAGCAAAAAATACAGTCACAAGCCACATGTCGGGAAAAACGAGGAACGGGAAGAGCGACCTGCTGATGGGTAAAGGTCTATCATTTTAGAGAGCTATCGATTGAAGAGGAAAGGAAAAGGTCACAGTGATCTTCTTTTCAGCCAAAAAGCAATCTTGTACAAATAACTTTCGGAAATTGCTGGTGGGGCTCATTAAGGCGTTTCCAAAAGGCATCATAGACATTTGGCTTGATCTTAAACTATAATAATAAAAGACTGAGTATCACTTTATTTTTAAGAACACATTATGGGTTATTAAAGTTGTGTTCTTTGTGCAATAAGCCCAAATTAGACTGTTCTAAGCAGTTTATTTACTGTGTATTATTGATTATTACTTGTATAGTACATGTCTATAGGTTCTAGATAGTTTCAAATTTATTGCTTCATTTCCATTCATTACTTAAGTTATTAAGAGTTACATAACTTACTAATACTCTGAGATGTGTTCCATTTTCTAAAGTGCAGTTTTAGTCATCACTAATTTAACTTTGCTATTGAACACATGCTGACATGTTTGTGAAATATTTAATCTTTTTTGGCAACAAAAGTGCCATGCAGAGGTATTGAATTTGTGAAGGAAACTGACTTTCTGAAAACTTGTTTAGCACTTTGCTTACCCTCTAATTAGTAATGATGAAAACTGCACTTTAGATTGAAGAAAACATCTCAAAGTATTTGTGACCTGTTAAGCTCTCATTATCTCTAAACTAATAACCACAAGAAGTTACATGGCACTATCTAGAATTTAAAGGAATAAAATACTGCAAATTATGCACTAATACATGTATTATACATTATGTGTACATTACATTATGTGTACAGCTGTACTACACAGAATAATGAGATATGACAGCAGCTGAGCGTTAAAAAGGCCCAAACATTTTAATAAAAACCTTGTTTTATTCTGCCCATTCATGTTTGTGCAAATTAGAAGTTAAACTGTGTGAAAAATCTGTATTTGCATTTAAATATGCAAACTTAAGCAGGGACACAGAAAGGTACTTTAAGTAAGGGGTGCTGAAATTTTAGATAGCATGTAAGTGACATGAACGGTGATGTCATGCAAAATTATTAGGCTTTTTTCATTTGAATATTTTTGATCATTTACATCAAAACAAATGAAATTTTGTGCTATAATATAGCGAGAGAGTACAATATATACATATAACTGACACATCAAACCGCTGACGTGCATCCTGTGCTCTCTGATCTCTCTGGATGAACGAGATGAGCTGAGAGGTGACCCATCAGATTGTTGATTTGTGGCGCTGCAATCGTTTGTGTCACATCCAGAGACACATGCTGACGTGATACACTTGAACACACACAACAAGAGGGAAAGTGAATGTATTCAAAACACGACATTGTTACATTATATAATTTTTTTTTCCATTTAAAAATTATATTAGGCTGCTTTGCAGCACTTGTCTACAGCTGTATAGCTTGTAGCAACATACTATTTCCTTTTTGTGCCTCAACCAGCTTGTGTTTTAGGGCCATGCCTCCACAGCTGCTAACAGCTGTAATGGACTTAAACATATATGTTTTAAAAATATTATTGTTTTTAGCAGTTGCAGTCCTGAAATCTGAGGTCGCTGCAGCATCTCAGCACTCCCAATTCCCGTGTCCCTGTACTTGAGATATTCTGTGCATATACAGTGTAAAACATGGTGAATAATTGTGTCGAATGGTATAATTTTCTTTTACATCATTTAGATTAGATTAACAAAAAGAACTATTTAAAGGTCTAGAAAAAAGTTCAGTCATTGAAGTCACTGCAGCTGCTATTTTCCTGTTATTTTCTGTTAATATGGTACAGAAAATTACTGTCAAAGTAATGCAACTAGTAATTTACTGTACTTTTACATAGATTTTTAATCCTTTTTTTACATGACCATTTTCCAGTCTCTCTCTATGCATAATAAAGCAGGCTGTTTGTTACTGTGCATTTAAATGATGTAATCCCTGTTCTGATCGGCTGCTTTGCATTGTGCCTAATTAATAAAGCAGTCCAGGCAGAAACACTTCTTATAACTTCAGAGTGATTTTGCACGGATGAACTGTTGTAAATGGATATATATCAATTGGTCGGTTCTCATAACGTCACAAACACAAGTAATTCTTAACACCTTATTTATGCATCTTAGATTTCCATATGTGGACTGTATGGACTGGGTAGATAACAACATGTGTTGATACTTCAACAACTTTAATACTACATCAAACCATATTTAACACAATTTGCATACTGCATGAAAATACCTTAACAACATTTAATTAAAAAAGTGAGGAAAATTTTGTTTTCCATGAAATGGGCCCAGCTGTCACCAGTGATAACAGAAGCGTGATGAAATGCTTATTTCTCATTCATAGCTCACTGAAACAGTACAGATCATTGAGCTCACTCAAACAGTTGGAAGTACAGACTCTAAACTTTTTATTGACAACACATTTGTGTTTGTAAGTAGAAGAAGAGATATTTTATTGTGATTAAATTTGATGAAACCTTACTGTTGTCTTTACATTTGAATAGTAAAAGAAAAATGAAAAACAGGTAGTAACTCTTACAAAGATAAAGAACCTCCATGTTCATTTTGTCAGTAAGTGTCTATGGTGCAGAAATGCACAGTCTCAGGTTTTCATCAGTGAACCGCTGACAATCTGCTGGAACTGCTTCTTCCACTGAACTGCTGCAGAGGACAACATTTGTTTTTCAGCTGAAAGAGTTCAAAATATCTGTTTTTTCACTCTCTCCCACAGAGAGTTTATACAGACTGAGGCATCCTCGTTGTGCACCACAGAGCAGTGTGGATGGCCTGGAGGATATGGAGGTTAGTCTGCTGATTTTTTTTCTCATCTGAAGGTGACATTGAAATGTACTCCTAAGGTACATTTGTGGGTCTAGAGAGGATGTGGATGGGAATTGTTGTCTGAAAATGATTACGTAGTGTCTCCACAATAGAGCGCGGTTGGTTACAAGAGTGTACATGATTTTTATGCAGGGTGTGGGACTCTCTAGGCACCCCACTGTTCAATTTGTTTTTGAGTCAAAGTGCCAAGATGCAATTATGAAACAGTGCTCAATGCATCTTGATTATCAAAACCACTGTTGCCTGCATTATGACTGGAGCTGAACACCCCTGTCATAGAGCACTGCAAGATGACCCACCTAAACAGATGTCCAAATATAATATAGAACAGTGTTTAATGTTATGTTTTATGGCTATTATGAAATGAGCTTTTACATGACATGTTAGTGCCAAGCTGATGGTGCTGTACCTTGACATACCCAGACTGGATTTAATACAATATCATTGTCACTGTCTAAAGAAAAACAAGCATCTCCAAAATGCAAGTTAATGTAAAGAGGTTTGATATCAAGTAATTTTGGAGCATTTATATTGGTCATGAAATCTTCATACAATGTAAGGGACAGCTGTCATGTTTAAACGATGTAGAAAAATAAAAATCAACAAAAATGGAGATACATGTTTTTCTTTGGACAGTGACGATATATATTCAGTACTGTATTACACTTTTTGCAGTTCTAGCCTAAATGCAGGGCATTTTAAGCTTGTAACAGACATTTAGGTAACACATTTTTATGTTGTAGTTTTACCGCAATTTTTTCAGTAAATACACTGTATGTCCAGAACTATCCAGCCCTTCTAATTAGTTAATTCATTTATGGCATTTGGCAGATGCTCGTATCCAGAGCACTTTACAGTCTAATCATTCTACAGAGGTATGCAAAAGTAGTGTTAGGAGTCTTGCCCAAGAACTATTATTGGTATAGTGAAGGTTGCTTGCCCAAGTGGGGGACTGAACCCCAGCCTGTACATGGAGGGCAGAGGTATTGCTCCACTACACTACACTACACCAGTATTCAGCTGCATTAACGTGTACTCATTCCTGATACGGGCGCTCAGTGACGCACAGCTTGTATAATCTCCACAGGAAAGCACTGCCAATAGAATTTGATGCTCTTGAGCAGCTACCCATGAGGTCACCATGTGCAATGCCAAGCCTCGACTAGAAGCTAATAAAGCCCCTGGCCATTGGGCTGTAGAGCAGTGGAACTGTGTTCTCTGGAGCGAGGGAGTTCCATCCAATACCTGGATGAGCTGGAGTGATGTGTTTCATTTAGAACTGATCATCCAACATCAGTACCTGACCTCACTAATGCTTTTGAAGCTGAATGCAGTCAAATTCTCACAGCAATATTCCAACTTAATCTAATTAGCCTCCTCAGAAGAGTAGAGGCTGTTACTGCAGCAAAGGGACACGCGTCCTGTTAATACTCTTGTTTTCACAAGAAATGCTGAGTGAGCTTGTATTTACAAACTTTTAAACATACAGTGAAGCCTATGTCTGATTATTACTGGATTAGATTGTTAACCTTTTAGCAATTTGCTGAGGCAGTGGTTAAACAAACAATCCATTTGGCACCTTGATTTTTAAGAGTGTACTTTGAGTCAAGTAACCTTGACTGCACCAGTTTTTCTTCTGTCCACTCATCTCTTCCTTTCTATAATTCTATAATTCTATGTCCGCACTCACTCTTCTGCAGAGGAAGTGCAGGACACAGCTGTTGATACTGGTCGTTCATGGAGGTCATATTCTGGACTCTGGAGGTGGTGACCCAGGTGGAAAGGCGGGTGACGCTGCCACGCTGGCCTCAGTACTGGAGCGGGTGGCGCGGGCTCACTTCCAGGAAGCAGCGGACGGCCTGCTGGTGCGGCTGGTACCCTGCCCGCCGGTCTGTGCTGAGGCTTTCTCTCTCGTCTCTCAGTGAGTTCAGAATGATTTTTATTTTTTTATTTTTTCTCACTGATGTGGTTTTACATACACTGAAAAAAGTGATGTGCTGGTTACTTAATTCAAATATGTGGATCATTTCCACGTGAATCAGCACAGTTTGTCTTTACCTACTCTTGGCAGTGATGTGGGAAGATTATTATAATGAAGCACCTTTTGCAATTTACCAAGGCTAATAGTAAAAACTGACTGTGCACTATTTATTTGTGAAAAGCTTATTTTATTTTTGGTACTAACATGGCTGCCTTTGTGTTCAGAGACAGACAAAAGAGCTTTTGAACACATTTATTGATTTTCAGTGGGAAAAAAAACATCTGAATGCCTGCTATGCATGTCACATTGTTCTTAATTTGATCAAAGAAATCAAAATCCTAAAACCAAATAGTTTTAGACTAAAGATGTTTATTCACCTTAGGTATGTTTTTGCCATTTGGTGTATTTAACTATATTTAGGAACATTGTTGACATTTTTCTTTTCCAAACAATTGTGAAAAACACTCTTTTTGGCTGTCCAGTTGCTGCATTGCTAAAGCTACTTGTTACTTTACACACATGGTGGCTTTTGTTGGAGATGTGTGACAGCCTTCGATGCGCTGAAGGTATCTAGGAGGTTACACAAATGACCGGGATGTGCTGAGTGAAATTAAACCAGAATTTAAAATAATACCTATTTTCCAATAAAACAGAAAGTAAAAAAAAAAGTTTATAAATAAAAAATTATTTCTTTAAATTCTTGATGAATTATGTCAAAATAATGTCTTATTTTCTCAAAACAGTTATGTATGTCAAAATAATCACCTGCTTTCCCAAATAACAGTAACTCAGTTCTTCAGCTTAATTTTTTAGTCTTACTAAGTCAAAATCTCGAGAAGTCATTATTTTGACTTAATGAGACACAATTTGAACCAAAATCAGAGAAGAATAAAATAAATATTTTTTTCTTTTCTCCTAGCTGGTGGAAACAGGCTTTCATGTAAGCCAAACAGGCGTTTATGTTGGGCTAGTTAATTACGAAACTCACATTTGTTCATTTGCATAGAACTTCTTAGACAACCTGCTAAATTGGCCCCCACAGGTGCAGAGTGTTGGTAGACTGCTGGTGATTAGTGCCTCTTTTAGTAAGCATTTAGCAAACTGCCACTAAACATTTAAAATACTTGGGTGACAATATACAGAGCAGTCTGTAACTAATTAGACACGATTATTATTTTAGGTCTGTATTTCACTGTGTTGGATTTGAAAAGAAGCGATAACTGAGGTTGAAGTGTAAATATCAGCTTTACGTCTGAAAGTATTTGCCATATAAACTATAAAGAGAACTAAAACTGTCTGTTTACTTATAAACTGTACAGTATACCAAGACATAGTTAAATTGCTGAAAATAGTTAAAAAGTTGTCAGTGGTTTTCTATTTATCAAGAAAAACAAAAGAAACATGTATTACAGTCATTGTTTTATCATGCACCTTGAAATGAAGTACTCATCTGCATCACATCCAGCTCCCGTTAAAATGTACATATCCAGCAATATAAGGCTGAATATTCTAAACCGTGGACATGGAGACCCAGTGTAACTTTGAAACCAAAACCTTGGTCTGGTACAGTGGATTGTTGTGATGCGCTTTCTCTTACACTCTAAAAAATGAAGCTCCTAATAGGTTCATGGCTTGGACTTATGATTCTAGCCTTGTTTTATGAAAGCCTGTAATTGGCCTTACGGCTGCATTATTAACAATAATGGATTATGAATAAATTGACAACAGATATTTCCATTTGTTTTCAGAATGACGTCCAACCTAGAGTGAGTTAACGACTTAACATGAAGAGGGTCACCTGTGAGCAGATAGCAGAAGAAAAAGAACAATAATGGCTGAAAGTTAAAAAAGAAGTAAAGTCTGGGAGCATTTTCTCAAAATGAAGGATAAATTCATCACATACAACATATGCAAGGCTTACAAAAAAGGCTACATAGGCTTTCCACAGAAGCACAATGTTATCTTTAACCACTGGAAAAGAAAGCATGCTGGTGTAGATTCTGAAGGAGCAGAATGGTCAGTAAATTGTAACTTTCCATGTGTTCTGACAAATGGAACTACTCCTTGAATGATTCGTCAGAATGAGCTAATGTTATCCTCATCACTAAAGCTCATTATGTTACATTACTAAATTTAGCCACTGGAATATTCAAAGCCAAATCAGTTTCTATTAAAGTGTTTAGAAGTCTAATTCAAAGAACTATTGAACATTCAGCAGCTCACCCTGTGACATATGTTCACTAGCTCACCACATACAACTGATTAATTAGCGTAAAATATACGACTTAATTTGTAAACGTAGTTTTCATGTTGCAAAATGCCATCTGCTCCTCCTGGGAGCCTGTTCATAGCTGGTCTACTAAACTGGCATGTTAAAATTTTAGGGTTAAACAAATCACCACAGTTACAGTACACATTTACGCTGATTAATAGATTAGCGATTCATTCACAACGTTTCAAAATATTTGTTTTTGCAGTCCTAACTGTCATAGATTTTTTACATTATGTAGCAAATCTTTAAATCTTCTAAGGCCCATGTGTTAAACAAAAGGCACTGGGGGCCAGATCAGGCCCCTAGCATAATCCTATTTGGCCCGCAAAATTATTTTCATTTTCTAGTTATATTAGCCCATTTCTCAGCGCACTGCACTACAATCCCCAGCATGCACTGGAGCACAATGTGCTGTGTAATGTAATGTAGCCTATTGTAACGTGAGCCTATTTATTTATTATTTATTTAATATTTCAAGTATTCATTATGTAACATTTCAAGGTTCACTACAACTGCCTTTATTTTAATGTTGGTGTTTTGGCATATTTTGGATAGACAGTGACCAGCTCAGGTTATAGCAAAATGTTATTTAACAATCAAATAAAAACACAGACGTTCTCTGGCCCACAGATTTGTAGAGGTTTTTTTATATGGCCCTTTTAGTGGTTGTGTTTGACTCCCCTGTTCTAAGGCATTGTGCCAAAGCACTCCTTTTTGGCTGCTACAGCTTTAAGAGTGCAGGTCTACAGCTATAACGATCCTTTAACTCTTCCTTCTTGAAATGTTTTTCCTTTTTTCTACCTTCAGCCTATAAAATCTCCCCTAGCCAAGGCTTATTTTCAGTGGAGAATGGCCTCCACCAAATCACATCAATGGCTTTCTCTGTTGGTACACACATGCCTAAGGAGAAGGCTAACGGAGGCTTAACAATCTCTCTGCAGAGTTCCATGATCGATTATTAATCAAACTGCCACTCTCTGGAGCAGAACACAGGCGTGATCAGAAGAAAAACACAACATCAGGGATACAGGAGCTTTACTGCTTTAATTAGACATGCATTTCTCTGGGAGACAGGGACTTTGCCCCTTTCAATGAGAACTTTCTTCCTCCACTTCATCCACTTCTCTGAGCCTTCTCCCAGTGGATTCTACCCAACAACATCGTCATTGAGCCAAGATGCTTTTGAAGACCTTGGCTGCATTCTCCTCATGAGAAACCTTCCACATTTTAACTATTTCATCACCTCAGTTCATTTGTACTAGGGCCTGACCACTGTTTCACATTTCATTGTCAACACATATTCATTTTAAGGAGGCAGCCAGTATAATTTAATATGGTCAAAAACAGTTAAACACTCCTCAGTTAAACAGTCCTTTACTGGGTGATATGATTGACAGTTCTTAGTTGAACAGCTTTATTTAGCTGATGTTTTGTACTGTTTCAGGTGATGATAAAGTCATCAAGCACTAGAACATGACCACCAAGTATACAAGGATATAAGCTGGAATAGCATTTTGATGTGTGGATTGCTGTTTTTAGAAATATCACTTTGTAAATACTGTGCCAAGTTAATTTCTGGTCAAAATGGAAACAGAATCTCCACTTGCAGAGGAGATTATATATAAAATAATCCTCTTGCATATGGAAGGGGAAAGTCAAATGAAAATAAGTGAAAAATAGGATTTTCAAATCAAACAGCTGGTGTTCAGAGCAATGGATTGGGTATCTCAGAATCCAGACCAACATGATTGTGTTTGCGAATACTTGGATCATGAGAAACAGAAAATGCAACGTACGTCTGAGACTGTACGTTGGAAGTGTGGAAAAAAATCTACCTGCAGATTTCCACACTTCTTTGAAAAACTGTGAAAAAAGAAAGGAAACTGTAGTAAAGGCAAATTGTGGACACATTAAATACAGAAAAAATGATTCTAAACAATGAATCTAAACAATGGCTGGATTATTATCAGTTGCATAGCACTTGTTACAGAAGTATCTATAGTACACAGTGTGTGTGTGTATATATATTCTCAGTGTACCCTGTACCCCTCTTGTCACTGGGGTGGTACCCTCAAGGGTACATCTCACTACCTTTAATCAGGTAACATAACTGTCCCATAATTCATTGAAATTATATTTTCTAAGTTGTATTGACTCCACACACCCCGTCTCGTCTCCAGGCTTTTATTTTATTGTTCTGTTTTAAAACATTAGGTTATGAAAAGGTACAAATATGTACTTTTAACCTGAAAAAAACCTATGTATGGTTCACTATTAGACCTTAAAACCACTGTTGTACCTTTACGGATACATTTACATTGTTTATACCTTGTTGAACGAAAGATGTACCTGCACAGAACATTTATTTCTAACAGCATAGATATTTGTGTGAAAAATGCTAGTCATCCAGCCATTATGTTAACGGTGGCCGCTGAGCCGCTAAAAGCGAAACTTATCAGACTTTGTTGACTCTCTGGAGAAACATTACATGCACAGTGCAGCAGCTCTTACAGTTAAAAATGAAGATCCCAATGCTTTTATTGCCTGCTGCTCATCATACAGCAAAAACACAAGAACCATATTGTTGTTTTATCACCCAGCAGATATATCTAACTCTATATGCCTTACAAACTCTCATCCTGAGTTCAATGACTTGGACTTTTTTCCTCATTATGTGCGGTATAATAGAGGAGTTGTACGGTGTTACCATCTCTTTAGTAGTGTTCTACTAGACATGGCAGAGTTGAACTTTTCTGGAATACTTAAAACAAAGTTCAGAGGAAGCAGACGTGTCCACTGTATTTGGTATTCAGCCCACATTGGCAATGGACTCTGAAACAGATGTTTCAGTGCACAGTTGAATGTGTCGAAGGTTACGAGAGTTTCATAATGTTTTTCTCCTGCTGAGGTCAGTGTTATGCATACAGCCCTGACTATTGACAAGAACACTTCAGGGCCTAATGTTCTTCTTGTTTCCTTTGTAGTTTGAATCCATACAGCTATGATGAGAGCTGTGTTTCCAGTAGCGTGGACCATCTGCCGTTGGCTGCTCTCCCTATCCTCGCCATCGCTGCTCCGCGATACCAGGACGCTGTGGCTTCAGTAATCACTCAGGCCAATCAGGTCTACCACAACTTCCTCCAGTCTCCAGAGGGCCTGGGCTTCTCTGGGCAGGTACACATTACTAGAGAATGCAAATACTCTCAGAGCCTGTAGTCTCAGCGGCCAGTAGGGGTATAAAAAACTCAATCCTTGACGGTGCCTATTCAGCTGAATTGATTTTGGAACGTTAGAATCAATTCTTATATATTATTATGTAATTAATTTTAATACGCTTGAGGTCGTGCTATGCCATGAGATATTAGCACCCCAGTGACTGCACCACACCAGTGCCATTATCTCATGGTATAGAACTCCCTCTTGTGTATTATTGCACAATTATACCACAGTTCATTCTGTCCTCACAGTGTGATAGGCTGAGAGCATCTCCCAATAACAGCACCCTGAACAAATCTCTTCAGATATCACTCTGCCTTATTTGCCTGCAACAACAATCAACCGTGGAATCAGTAATGACCACAACTTCAGTAAGAGTAACTAGCCTGTCAGAACTGTACTCACCGAGCAGTTTATTAGAAACACCTGTACTCCTACTCATTAATGCAATTATCACTGCATAAAATCGTGCAGATATGGGCCAGCAGTTTCAGGTAATGTTCATATTATCCTTCAGAACGGGAAAAAATGAGATCTCAGTGATTTTGATCAAGGTCTTTTTATTAGAGATTTCACAAAATACAAAAGACCAACAGTTCCATGCCCCCAAAGCCACCCATCACACCCACCCACCACACCCACCCACCAGACCTACATCAGTAAAAGAAACTATATAGATTCTTTACAGCTTTTATAAAAAAAATAAAAAGACAAAAAACTGAAATATAGTAACTTAAGATAAATACATATTATGGAGCTACATTTTCGGCTTCCGTTTTATCCACATATGTCAAGAAGGGCTGCCAAATCTCTGTACAGATCCTTGAAGAGAGTATCTCATCTTCTCCAATTTGAGGTACTGCATAACCTCTTTGATCCACTGAGAATAATTAGGGGGAAGAGGGTCTTTCCACCTTCCACCAGCCAAAAGAGTACAAAAGGCCATTATGTTGCATTTATAATTATTTAGTTGGGTTTCTGGTGGTGCAACACCGAATAATGCAACATAAGGAGAGTAGCTTATTGGTTCTTCCAAAATTTTAGAGAGAATATAAAAAATAGATTTCCAAAAATGATATAATCTTGGGCATGTCCAAAACATATGTACTAGACTTGCAGGGTCTTGTTGCACCTATCGCAAGTGGAGTCCAAATTGGGTCTAATTTTGGACAGTCTAACTTTACACCAATGAAGACGATGTACTACTTTGACTTGTATAACAAAATGCCTTTGACAAATTGAAGATGAGTACATTCTTCGAATAATTTTCTGCCAAGTCTCATCTGAAATTTGCTCATCCAAGTCCTCTTCCCACCTGCTCTTAAGATCATCTAAAGCTGTCAAATTATGAGAGATGAGAAACTGATATATCCTGCCAGTACACTGCTTAACACCTTTCCCGAGTTCGAAGATAGAGTCTATCAATGACGTGGGAGGGTAAAGAGGAAAACAGTCAACAGGTGCGGCTACAAAGCTCCGTAGCTGTAAGTATCTAAAAAAAATGTGATCTAGGAATACTAAATTTATTCACCAGTTGCTCGAAGGATGCAAAGTTATTATCTATATAAAGGTCTTGTAGTGATGAGACCCCATTCTTAGACCAGATATTAAACGCTCCATCTGATGTTGAAGGGATAAACATGTGATTATTAACTATGGGGGTGGATAATGAGGGATTGTTGAGTGTAAATGACCGTCTAAATTGAATCCAAATTTTTACTGATTGTGCAACGTTGGGGCTACTACTATAACAAGAAATAGGCTTTTCCCATGGGAGTTTAGAGCACAGTAAGGCAGGTAAGGAGGTGGAATTACAAGCTGAGTTTTCTAACATTAACCACTTGGGGGTATCTAAGCCATCCGCATCCTTCATCCAATACATCAGTACATTGATATCTGCTGCCCAATAATAAAAACGAAGATTTGGGAGTGCCATACCACCCTCAGAACGTGGCTTCTGCAATATGCATGATCTCAGTGATTTTGACCATGGCATGATTGTTGGTGCCAGACAAGCTGGTTTGAGTATTTTTATAACTGCAGACCTCCTGGGATTTTCACACACAACAGTCTTTAAAGTTAACTCAAAATGGTGCGATAAAGAAAAACATGCAGTGAGTGGCAGTTCTGCGAACTTATTGATGAGAGAGGTCAACAGAGAATGGCCAGAGTTGACAAAAAAGCTACAGTAACTCAGATAACCACTCTGTACAACTGTCATGAGCAGAAAAGCATCTCAGAATGCAAAACACATTAAACCTTGAGGCGGATGGGCTACAACAGCAGAAGACCACATTGGGATCCACTTCTGTCAGCCAAGAACAGAAAGCTGAGGCTGAAGTGGGCACATGCTCGCCAAAAAACATTAATGTAGTAATGGCAACCAGCTGTTAAAAAAGCTGCCACAGCTTTATTACAAATAAGGTGGAGTGACACTTGAAGAGATGCATACGGCTGTTATAAGGACATATTGGCACACATAAAATACCTCTCAGTCAGTCACATTACCACATAACTGTGTTATAAAATATCAATAATACACTCAAGGCCATGCTATACTGTGACATATTTTCACTGGTGTAAAGATATTCCGTTGTCTGCAGCATGTCAGTGCCAGTATCACACAATATAGCAGCATCTTCAGTGTGTTATACCACAGTTTCATTATTGGCATTTCTGGTAGTTTTTGATACAAAAATGGATTAACAAGAATGCTTATTCACCTTTTGTCAAGAAACATAGTTTCATTGAACGGTCTATATACTAGCAGCTATTATACTATTCCAGTGGAATATGGTAGAGTGACACTTACAGAACCCATGTCATTTATTTTTTTGAAAAAAAAAGAGTTCAATGTATTATGTAAACATTAGTGAAGTTTTACCCAGTCCATACAGTTGGTATATGAAAACAAAGGTGCAGAAACAGCTTGTTTTCAGTGATCTTGGTAATCCACTTTTATGTCATCATAGTCTCAAAAGCTAAAAACAAATACCAATAATGACACTGTGGTATAATATACTGAAGGTCATTCTAGAAAGTGAGATTTTGGCACCAATGTGCTGCAGTCATTGATGTGCTGCATGACCTTGAGTGAATTACAGCATAATAACACGTTATAATTGATTCTGAAATTCCAAAATCAATACAGCTGAACTGCCACCAGCGGTGATAGAATGTTTTTACACACCTACTGCCCACTGAGCTGCCCACATCCAGATTGCATGCTCTTTTTTGAATTTTGTGCAGCCAGTCATAACATAGCTCAGTCACAAATGGGTTATTCTCATGAACATGTCAAAGTTGACACAACTACAAAAAAAAAAAATTTTAAAACTTGCTAATATTATAAGTTTACGTTTATACTTTTTAGATCAGCTGAAAGGCCTGTATGAAATATTTTTATAGGCCATTTTCACTTGCCTGGCAGGAGAAACTCTGCGCAGAGACAGACATGTTAATTAGGCAGAAATGAGGCCAGTGAATCAAATGAAGCAAAGGCATTATTAGTGTTATTAGCATTTCTCACACTGTGATTACACATTTGGCAGAGTCTTTGCAAACACTGATTTGAGTGTGTAATATTTGTCTCCTTTCTCACATTCTGTCATTTTCTCAGGTGTGCCTGGTGGCAGACTGTGTTGGTGGAGTGCTATGTTTTGATGCCTTGTGTTTCAGCGGCGACAAACAACACAGAAGTCCTGAATCTAACAGCAGAAACAACAGCACTGAGAGCCTCAAGGTACACACATACACACACACACACACACACACTGGCACACACACACTCACACACACACTCTGACACACACAGTGTCAGCATCTGGACTGGGTTGCACCAGGTTTGCAGAGTTTATACTTAAGTTTGGACATAAAATCTTTACTAAGTCATTACTTAACACGAATAGTTTCAAACTTTTTTGTACTAAATTTGGTTGCACCACAAATCCATAAATCATGTCTTAACTAGTAACAACTAACTAATGTGTCGGTTCAACGTGAGGATAACATGTTCAGAACCAATCAGTAAACCTGCTGCCATGGAAACGCGATGGCAGTTGGATCTGACTTTTCCATGGGAAAAAATATCCAGCCTAGAAGAAAACGATGTGTTCAAGTTAAACTGAATAAAAAGTATGTGTGGCCATTGCCTGTTTACTCTTTAATGTTTCCCCAAGACAACCAAATGTGCAGCTTTTTAAATGATGGTTTCTGGATAACCCGACACAACAGTAGCCTCAGTGTAGCCTTTTGGGTGAGTCTCACAGAGGCGGAGCTGTGGTTGTTTTGCTTCATGCTAAAACCAGGTGATGATTGGAGCTGTAAGTAAAGTCACAGCAAATAGCATTTAGAATTTTTAGGTTACTTAACCAAAGAAGTCATGTTTTTGGTCATTTTTGTGTTTTCTTTGTGGTTTCTGATTGTTTCTCCAAGACTTAAACCTGCTGAGAGGTGTTTAACTAGTTAACTTTAAGCTAGTTTGTGTGGTGCAACTCGTTTTGATTATGATTTGGTTTGATTATAAACTTAGTAAACTTTTACGTTACAGCTAGCCTGTGTTTGAACTTACTCACAGCTGGTGCAACTTGCCACAGGGCTGTTACTAGAATCGTAAGTTTAGTTAGGTCCATTGTCTGGGAATCACATGACTAAACTAACTGCTGATTATGTGTAGACAGACTGACACCAATGGTCAGTTTTGAAAAAAAAATGTTTTTCTTTGGACAGCAACAATATACTAAATTACTTGGTATTTTTACATCTCTTTACCTAGTCTCTCTCCTTCTCTCTCTCTCTCTCTCTCTCTCTCTCTCTCTCTCTCTCTCTCTCTCTCTCTTTCTCTCTCTCTCTCTCTCTTCCTTATTTGCTGCTGGCTCCTCACTGATTGAAAAACCATACTTTGCAAATACATAAAAGGCTGTTTCTACCAAACCCCAGCTAACATCAAAGAAGGCTACTCGTACAGTTAATTAGAAAATACAGCCCAATATACCTGCTAATGTTACATGATACTATTCCATCAATATGCTAGTTAACAGTGAACTTTATCATGCTTGTGGCAGTATGTTTTGAAGAAGAAACATTATAATAATTTCCCAGTAAGTAGTATTCCCAAAAATGCACTTGGTTAAAAATGTTATAAAACCCAATAATATCATAAGTTGCCCAGTAATGTAATACAGTGGTTTAACTCATAATTTCATAATACTTTAATAGATAATGTAATAGCTTATTTATTACATTAGGACTTTATTACATGTTTGGGTTGACCATATGTAATTCTTTAGTATATTCATGGAAATGTGTTTTATTTGTAAGTTCATCATTTTTGCTTAAACATACTTTCAGCATGGAAAATATAATACTTTTAGAGAAGCTACCAAAGGTCTCCTACAGTGCTTATGTGCTGCATGCAGAAACCAACAGATCCTGGAAAATGAGGAGCATCAATGAGACAAAGTCTTACAAAAGTTCATTCTTCTTTCAGAAGCAGCCGCGACCTGGTTCTGATTACGACTGCCTGGTCTGGAAAAAAATATTTGGAAAAAGAGTCTGATGAAAATGAGGAGTTGTAATATTAATAATTACAACCACACGGCTAACAGTGGTGCTTTTTGTTCTTTTCAATGAGGAGATCAGGTGTTATTTATGTCCAACCTGAAAATGTAGTAAATTCTTAATAATGCAATAAAATATTTCATTACCAGTAAAAATCTTATTACATTATCAGTAAAGACATTGTATTACACTGTTGGGCAGGTTATTACATTATCAGGTTTTATTACATTTATTTTACTACATTTCTGGCCATTATTACATTATTGGTAAAGTATTACATTATTTGGTCCTACAAACACAATACTTCACAAATATTTTGAACTACCAATATGATGTTTGCATTTTACAAGCTTAATTTGTTAAGTGCCCATAAACTCTCACAGTTTACCACAGCTTTGTTCTATGTTAGTCTATGGTATGTGTGTTGCATACTTATACGTCTTAAGAAATGAAAGTCAGTCAGGGTATAGTCTTGAACAGAGACTCCACAGCTGTTTTGAGGTCAGCTGAGAACCAGTCAATGCTGACTGAGTAGTCTCATTGCTGTACCAAAGTCAGACCTCAGTGTCCCCATGGAAGTTATGACCATGTTCAGGCTAGGGTCATACATCTCTAATATGTCATATATATTGTCACTGTCATGCAAAAACAATGTGTTTATTTCAAAAATCATATCGCGATTATAACAAAAAGATGATTTATTGTGCAGCCCTGCTTCCATTACAAACTTAGAAAGTTTTTCCTTCTCCTTGTAGATGTAAAATTTTATTCTGACAGTGACAATGTGTAAGCACCTATGTATAACAGTATTCCCCATATGTGTTATATAAAGGTGTCTATACGTAATAAGTATTTTCCAAGTCTAACATCTAACATTAACCTCAGAAACCAAAAAGAAATGTTTTCGCACTTGAAAAAAATGAAAATGTAGAACATGCAGAAGACCGTTTAGCATCTACATATATCAAAGTAATACAACTTATATGTAGTTGTCCATGAGCTCTAAGGTTAAGGTTCTGTAATATGAACATAGGCTACGAGCTACACTACATGTCCAAAAGTATCCAGGCACCCCTTCTAATTAGTGAATTAAGCTACTTTACACACATTACTGACAACTGTGTACACATTGCGAGACAAACTGGAGATGCCCTACATCTAGTGTAAAGCCTTCCCAGAAGAGTAGAGACTGTTACTGCAGCAAGAGGAGGGACAAACTCCCTATTAATCTCCTTGATTCAGAGCAAATGTTGGATGAGCAGGTGTCTACAAACTTCTGCACATATAGTGTGTGTCTGTGATTGTATGAAAGGCACAGAAGTGACATAAAGACAGTTGGGGGTTAGAATGGGATATCTGAGGTAGAGGAGCTGGTTGTGGCAAAACCATCATAATCACAAACGTTGGCTACGAAATGTATTGAAAAAAAGATCCATTCACATAAAGTGTGCCTAGTGAGTGAAGACATGTTCAGGTTAGCTACCTGGTGACATTTTTATGTGTCAATATAAACTTGAAACCTCTTTAGAATGCTTTTGAATCATTCCAAATGTACAGCAGAGTTACAGCAGAGTAAACCAACAGCAATAATCTGTGCTTAAAGGTTGAGTCATAATGAGCTAATTTATCAGTTGGAACAGCAAGTAGCAGCAGAAAGGATTGAAAATGTGTTTATATGATGGTGAAAGTCAGCAGAACGAGGAAGCGCTGCTTCACAAAATTAGATTTATATTAAAAGGCAAAACAAACAAACAAAAATGAGCTTTGGACGCAGAGGGGGGCAGATGGGGAGAGTAGCTGTGTAATGGATGTCAGTTGCTGGGGTTTATCACATCAAATAAGATCATTCATTTGGTGAAGATTGTATTGCAAATGATTCACATTTCCATCAAATATTAATATTGGAGCTCAGCTTTGTTTGCCGTTACAAGAACTAAAAGTGCTGGAGTGCTCTATTCATTTCCAGACTGCAGTGCAGTGTAAAACAAAAATCCCGACAAAGCTGGCAAATCGGTAACCTGTTCATAGCACTACATGACATCTGCATAAGCTTGTTATGATAACTGACATAAATGACGACCCTACATAAATGTTTATAAATGCTTATTCCAGTAGGCGTTATCTGTCATAAAGACTACTTTCAGCTAACTGATGAAAACGTAGTGTAACCTTCATAGTGAATGACGTCTGTTGGAATAAACATTTATAAACATTAATGTAGGGTTATGTCAGTTGTCATGACAAGCTTATGTGGGTGTGACGTAGCCGCATGAACAGAACATTGCAGTAACGGTAACGCAGTAAGTAGTAAGTACACTGCGTCCTGTTGCTTTTACTATTATTCCACTCGCAGTCATTTCCGGGGTGAGGGGGGCAGTGGGCTTCTCTCTCCCTCTCTCTTTCTCTCCCTCTCTCTCTCTGTTTCTCTCTCTGTCTCTCTTTTTTCTTTTTCTCACTTTCTTTCACTTTTTGTCTTGGTCTCTTTCTTTCTGTCTTTTTCTCTCTCTCTGTCTGTTTCTTTCTTGTTCACTCTGTCTCTCTCTTTATCTATTTCTTTCTCCTTTTTTCTTGTTCCCTCCCTCTCTCTTTCTCTTTTTTCTCTCTGTTTGTCTCTCTTACTCTGTCTCTCTTTCTCTCTCTCTGTCTCGTTCTTTTTCTTTCACTCTATCTGTCTTTCTCTCTCTCCCACTCTCTCTTTCTGTCTCTCTCTCTTCCTTTTTTATTTTGACTCTGTCTCTCTGTCCCTTTGTCTTTTCCTCTTTCTTCCTTTCTCTTTCACTTTCTGTCTTTCTTTCTTGTTCACTGTCTTTTTCTGTCTCTCCTACTCTTTATTTTCTCTTTCTCTCTCTCTTTATTTCTTGTTTACTTTGTCTCTCTGTCTCTTTTTCTGTCTCTTTCATTCTCTCTCTCTGTGTTTCTGCAAATAAGTTAAATGTACAAAACAAAACAAGTAAACTTAAAGCAATTATATTGATCTTATAGATTTTGTCTGCAACCACTTGACACATTTGAGTCATGAGCAATTATTTTCAGTGGATCTCTCTCTCTTTCTCTCTCTCTCTCTCTCTCTCTCTCTCTCTCTCTTTCTCTCTCTCTCTCTCTGTTTGAACTTTAGTTTCTAGCCTTTCACTTGTATGTCCTTATCAGGGATGAATCTGTGTTTACTTTGACAAATTCTTCACCTCCTCTCTCATTTTCTGTCCTTCAGAACACTTCTGTCCTCCCTCCTCACTGCTGAAATGTGGCAGGGCACTCCTTTCTATCCCACTTCTCCCTGTCCTCTCTTCTGCCCTTTGTGGAACTGTCATATCTGTGGAATTTAAAGAAGACTCTTATGAAACATACTCTGAAATAACCTGAAGAAGCTCTACAGAATCATTTTAGTGTTGACAGTCTGTTAAGAGGCTTTACACAGCAGAAAACTAAAGCTGTAGCTTCATCTGCTTGATGTCACACATAAATGTTTTTATTTTGAATAGTAACAGTGCGGATATGCCAGATACTAACGACCATTTTAACTCTAACTTTGAACGTAACAGCAGTATGTAGTACACAGATTTTCTACATAAATCATTGTGGCAGAAGCAAATGCAGATGATGTCTTTACATGAAAACAATGAAAATGAGTGAGAATGAGTTTCAGATTGTGTACTGTCAGAAGAGCATGGAAGGATGTCAACAAGCAAAACTGATATTGAAAACTGAGCTAAAATTGCAAAAAAGACATCAACATAATTGATTTTCAAGATGATTTCACGTAGAGCGCTGGTTGATTACTTGACAGAACCCTGGTTTCAATCTTCCAAATGAATCTAGAGCAATTATCAGCATTGAAATGAGTTTTTTCGTCCTGTTGAGCGTGGGTTTGATGCAGGCACTCTGTGCTGTGTTACTGCAGCTTGGTTGGCAACTGCTTCCTAGGCACTGATTCCCAGCAGCACTGTCTGCCTGGCTGCTTTGTGCTGATGCTTTAATGAGCGCTCAGTCACCTGTGCAGTGCCAAGGGGGGCAATAGAGACACCAGCTGCTGCATTAGCTGATGACAGCCCAGCTGCTCTGGGACTGAGAGGAAGGAAAGTCCATAAGCTCCAGGTATAGATGCAGAAGGATATGGAAGTGGGGCACATGACGGTACATTGTCAACCTTGTAACAAAACCTTGTATCTCTGAAATGGAGAAAAAAAATGTTTCAATATATGTTAATCTAAAGAGATTTTACTGAAATATTCACAGAATTTTAATGGCAACTTCTGAACAAAATTCTCTCCCAACTCGACTGTAGCCTGACAAAGTTCTCTCCCTAATCAGACTAGCCAGACAGAATTGTCTCCCAGTCCAACTGTAGCCCGACAAAATTCTCTCCCAATCTGACTGTATCCTGACAAAATTCTCTCCCAACCCGACTGTAGCCAGACAAAATTCTCTCCCAACCCGACTGTAGCCAGACAAAATTCTCTCCCAGTCTGACTGTAGAGTGATAAATTCTCTCCTAAATCTGATTGTAACCTGACAAAATTCTTTTCTAATCTGACTGTAGCCTGACAAAATCTCTCTCAATTCGACTGTGGCTAAAAGGTGTGTATGAACGTTACATAATGTGCTGTTCTCTAGTGTTCCTTGTGGACTAGGTGTGAGATCTATCAGAAACATTTAAAATGCGAATCTGATCTGAGCTTAACAAATATTTGAGAAATAATATCTGAACCTGACTGAGCAGTTGTGAATAATCAGTACCTGTTAGGTTCAAACAGATATTTTAAGCTCTACTCCAGGTAGACTGAACCTCTCTTATGGTTGATGTTGTAGGAAAAGCCCAGCATGATGAGCAGTTTGAGTCCCACTCTGAGGGGCAGTAAGCGCCTCAGCAAGAGCAACATCGACGTCTCCACTCCTTGTGAGTCAGGCCCAGGCATCCGCAGTCCACTTATCCGCAAGCAGAGTGACTCATGCGACGCAGACGTTGCAGGAGGTCAGAGAGAAGTCTTCTTCAGCAGGTTGGAATCTTTTATTAGTTTGCTTAGCCGATTTCAGTTAATTATGATGATAATTATGACTTAGGTAATTTCATGGCATAATCAGTTTGTTTACTGTGGTAGGAAATCTAGTGACAGACCTGCATTGAGTTTTATAGTTACTTATCATTAAGCCTTGTAGTTGTTATTTAGAACTTAAATTATCCTTTCACTGATATTTATGAAATTTCTCTACAAATATACCTACAATTTACCACAGAAATGAAGTGCTCGCCCATAGTCAACACAGCAAAATAAGTTCCAGGTTCTTTACAGCCAAACTGACAGATGACTAATTTTTATTTTTTTCTTTTGGCTAATTTTTAGTAGCCTTTTTAAACCTGAAGCTCACACTGTGTGAGGCAAATAGAAATATGAAATTAGCACAGTATTAGTCAAAGTTTTCTTTAACAGCTTTGTGCTCTTTAATGGGCCAAACTGGTGTTTTAATTTGTAAATTAAGAATCAGTAGCTTTCTCAAATTACTTGATACAAATAAAGTGCTAAGTGCTATTGGACTTGCCCGCCTTTCATTATTTACATCTTAAAACTGAAACACAGATCGGCCAAAATAAAATTAATAAATAGGTGGATTAACTACATAAATAAATTTGCCAATTCCAATCTCATCTGCAGTTTTGTGCGGTAGTGCTTGATTTGACAATTCCAAATTTAAACCTGAGCTTTCACCTCTGTTAGTCACCATTAGCTCCCTCATAAAGGTCAAGGAAAGCGTTGATCTCCATACGTTATTGCGGTAGGTCCCTCAGTAATCTCATTAATTCTGTCATGCTTGTGTTGTAAGAATGTTCCCCAGGCTTGGAAGAACTGTTTTACATGCAAATACATTAGCATGGCTGGAGGAACCGTGGCTACATGTTGGAATTCATTGAGGCAGAAAAATACATGGGTGGACCTTTTTTTTTTTTTACAGAATTACTGTTAATTAATTTGAATAATCTCATTACAGCTGTTCATATATTCCATAAATCCATATATTTGTCCACATATCCATTGATTCTATTTGTCAGTGCAAATGAAATGTTTTTTAATAGTAAATAACTGGACTGCGCCCTCTGATACTGTAGTATACTCTAACATACTGACACAGAACTTACTGTCATTATTTCATTACTGCCATATCAAAACTCATGACACATTTTTCCTAATTTTTTTATTATTTGGCACCATTTGAAAACAACACCACCATTTTTCATCAATGGACCAATAGAATCTGTCCCAATAGCTTGGAATAAAATCTTACATTAACTTACAATAAAAAGAAAGAATTTTGATCCCCTCTCCTGAAAAATGATTGGTGGTTTTGTTCCTAAAAGGACAATATATTACATTATTATTCATCCCTCCATTATTATTAATCAGGAAATATTATGAATTATTTGACAGTTACTATGAAATCAATGTTAAGGTGTGGCCCCACATACAGGCTTTGCTTTAGTGTTTACATTACAGTAGTGTTTTAAAGGTATGTGAAACTGTATATTTATTAACTTATTATTCAAAAAGTCAATAATAACTTATTGTGATGTTCCTATTAGAGTTATTGAAGGTACTGAATTGTGCTTTGAAGATGCATGAAAAAATCAAACAGCCTGGACTTACATAGTGTTCATGTTTTTTCTCTGGCTCTCAGTTTGTCTCAGGATGAACAGAGCAGCTCGAAGCACCCAGGTTGCTTTGACTTTGAGGTTTCAGACTGCTTTCTGCTCGGCTGCCCTCTGGGGCTGGTGCTTGCCATGAGGAGAACTGTGTTACCTGCTTTTCAGGGTGACTAAGACCAATGCACACAAACACACACATACACACTCTGATTTTATAAACATTCGTTAACAGTGCAAACAATACTGCAAAAAAAACTATTTGTGTGAATTTTCACAAATAATGAAATTTTCAAGACCTGAGTGATATTTTGAAAATAAATAGCATGTTTTTTCTTGTTAAAAAAGTCATAATTATTGATTACATTGCACCCATCCCAAGCCACACACACTGTCCACTGTAGTCTAGCCCTACGTTCTGTTCTATTTTTAGTTTATATATTTAATTAAACATTAATTGATTTAATGAAAATGTATTTATGCTATTTTTAATTGAATATAGGATTCAAATTATTTGCATTGTTTTATTACATTTGATTACATTTCATATGTGTATATGTATATGTATATATATATATATATATATGTATATATATTATATTATATATATATAGAGAGAGAGAGAGAGAGAGAGAGAGAGAGATAGATAGATAGATAGATAGATAGATAGATAGATATGTAGTATAAGTGCATGGTATGCTCAGTACTGAAGAATTTGTCAATATGTCAAATTCATCTCTATCTGTGCATCTGTATATATAATATGGTCGAATATCAGTGTTGACCATTTTGAGACACTTCAGCACCTGCTCATTGGCTCAGTGGCTATTACAAGTCTATTTTGAGTCATTTCTAAGTACAGAGAAACGCGTCCAAATGACTGTTCAGGGTAATCAGCCATATGCTTCAGATGCTGCAGATAGAGACTAGGTTGAGAAATGCTAGAGTATTCTTTTAAGGGCCTTTGCACTAATAGCCTCGCTCACACCCTCTGCTGGTCTCTCTCTCTCTGCAGTGTCCCAGCTGCATCCAGCCTGCTCTCAGATCTTCAACCTCTTCTACCCGTCGGACCCCTCCGCCTCACGCCTGGAGCCCCTGCTGCATCCTTCTCTCACCCAGCTGCCCCCCTTCCCTGTGCCCCGCTACCAGCGCTACCCACTGGGTGATGGACGCTCCACTCATATCTGTAAGAACTCTCTTTACCCTTAATTGTTAGTGTTATTACTGTCACTTTAGAAAAAAGGGTTTGTGATGTCAACAACACAAATAGCTATTTTATTTACTAGCCAAAATAACCAGGCAACATGCATAGTGAGTGTTTTGTGTAATTTTGATACTGGAAATAAATGTCGTGCATGTACTTCTCCACCACAAATGGATTTTTAAAAATTACATTTAAGGCCAGAACTTTGTCTCAAAATGAACATAAAACACTGTCTCAGGCAAATTATTTATTTTGGTTTGTAGACATCATGACCCCCAGTTCCTATAACCACCCCTGTAAACAATTATGTATCTGTAAGTTTCTCTAGAAATGAGCATTTTACATCAAACCACTCCGAATTACTTTGTTCACGATTTAATTATACAGAAATATTGGAAAATCAGAGAATTTTTTGTTTAATCCCATCTGAATAGGGCTTTACACTAAAGTCTATATATATAGAATGCAAAAAAGTAAAATTATCACTTATTTGATATTGTTATGAGCTACAACAAGATGTTTATTATAATAATATAAAACTATCGGTTATTGTTATATAAATGGTATCTATGCATCCTTACTATGTATTACTCTATCTACGAGGAGCATCGGTGTTGCTTTGTTCACTATAATATGCGCACATACAGTACAGTATCCTGCATGTAAGTACTTATTTCACCTCTTTATATAAGAAAGTGAGGCGGAAACTTAAGAAAGAACGAAGTTAATTATGTGAAATATGGAAGTAATGTGGTGAGTGACAGCCTCTCGCAGGTTCTCTCTCTCCTGGGCTCTGGAGGAGCAGTATTGTGCTGTATGTGCCAGCAGCACTCTGAGCCAGAAAATGTTCTCAAATTAGACTCATTTAGACGGCCAAGCTGAGGTCACAGCAGCTTCACACAGGGGTTAAAGCAGAACTGTTGCTGCATGCCAGGCCAGTCAGCTTAGTGTCTCTCTCTCTCTCTCTCCCTGCCTCTTTCTCTGTCTCTCTCTCTCTCAAACACACATACACATGCTACTTTGTTAGTTCTGGTGCCAGGATCAGAGAAGGGAATTAGAATATTTCCAGACTAAATTACTTTGAGTCATCACTGGACATTTGAAGTGTCCATCACAGCCCTCTGCAGGATGCAAAAGGTCATTTAATGTGAAAGCAAAACTTACGTGGGCTGTCATCTTTTTTATCAAGTTTAGCTATGTTAGCCATGAGTTCCTGTGTTTTACTGTCAAATAAAGAATAATGTTGGTTATTTCGACTGACAGGTTCTTGCACTTTTGTACTCTGTTGGATTTGAGTTGCGCAGAACAATGTGAGAAGAAATTAACATCAAGGTTTTCTCACAGCAGTCAGAATTAACATGGATTTTACATTCGCTAATATCACCCTTAGCCACAGCACCACCCCTTACAAATCTATGTCTCTTTAGTTTAACCTGACTGACTGCCAGTGAGTCAAATAGCTTAGTAGCATTTTGAGTGTTTAATAGACTATACCATTTCCAATGTAAAGTCTTTTAATTATCCCTCTGCTTCATTCTTCATAATGCTGTCACATTTTTGTGGCTTTCAAAGAGACAAAGACTACAAAGAGTCCAAAACCATTAGCAAATCCCGTGTTCCTTGAATGGCAGGATACATGTTTGAGCGAGCTTTATTGGGGTAAACCAATAAAGAAACCAAGTCCAAAGTAGGGATCCTAATACAGGCAGGCAGGTACACAATCAATAATCCGAAACCAGGAACACAAATCAATGGAGCAAGAGTCTAAAACACTGCATACAGGGAAAAGAACAAAGAAAAATGGAATAGAAATGTCTGTGACAAAACTTAACAAAGAACAAAGGCAGGGATCCTCAATAAGCCTGGGCAGTATCTAAAAATAATTAGCATGATATTTTCTAGTTAAGCAAAGATCATCGGTTATCATTTATGTGCTTTTTATAATTGTTTTAATGAAAATCGTGGATTAATTAATGTAATACTAAGTAGCCCAGCATCTGTTGAAAACTACTTAACCTGTCATTTTAGTAGGTGTTACTGCACACATGTGTGCTTAAGCTCCTTCTAGTGTAGGTTCATAGTGACTTGTGTGCTAGTAGCATTCTTTGCTGGGGAAACTTCATACTACAAGTGATTTCTGTAGCCATGCCCATGTGTTTTACATATTACAAAAACGAGCTGTTTCTTATAGCCTAATATTTTAACCTTAAAAGTGAATAAAACATTGTGTACTTGTTATTTAATATTATTTAGTTTAAAGGTAAATTAGTCCACTCCAGGTAGTGAAGACCTTCATGAGCAACTGAATATTAGAGCAGACCAGGTGTGTTGAAATTAAATTCTCCTGGGCAGTAGTCTATGTGTTGGTGTCTAGAGCTCTAGAGGGAAGTAACACAGTGACAGATTGCCACTTAACACCTAATGTCAATGGTGTTAGTCAAAGTTGTACCTGCACTAGCCACTAACACTGGCTCCCTTTGATATTTTCAAACAATGCAAAGGACAGCTGACATGTTGAGATGATGGAAATAAATATTTATAATTGAGTTAACAGCCCTTTTAAACCCGTTAATAAAACAAATATGCCCTACCAGGATGTTGCTACATTCTGTGAAATATTTCCTTTCTTTTTCTTTCTCCCTTTTCTTTTTTTTAAATCCCTCTAGCTGACACAGTTGTCAAACACCCATCGGATGGCAGCGGAGCTCCAGATGCCATTCAGGCTCCGTGCTGCCCTGGAGGTGGCTGCAGGCCAGGAAGGGCAGTGACTGACCCTGAAAACAGCACACCTGCACCCGGCCAGCCAGACTGCACCATCTCACAGTGTGAGTCTGCAGAGCTAGCTTTCAGCAGTTACAGGCACTGTGTATTTGAACCTGCTGATTATGAATGATTACAATCATATAAATGCCGAATAGAGGTTTATGTGATGGATTTCCTGTTCGCGTTTCCCTGACATTTATATAGAAAAATGCAGTGTTAACTATTTATAGCCTCCAGTGCTGTGATATTGATTTCAGGAGCACTTTTGAAAAATGCTAGACAAAAGCATTCTGCCTCTAAAAGCAGAGGTGGGTGTAGTAACCTAAAACTAACAACCAGGTAAAAGTGTTATTACTTTATTTAAATTATAAAACAGGTAGTTTCAGTTGACTGGCTGAGCCACGTTCAAAATTACTCTATCTACACCTTAATATGGCCAAACACATTCTGTATTAATAAGCCAAATTATTAAAAAGCATTATGCTGATCATAGAATAATCCTTAGTATGGTAATGTAATGTATGTAGAAAAACTGTTCAATATTAATAATAAATGAAATTATTTATGGAACGTTGGTTTATTTTATCATATTATAAAAGCTTCACGTCATTCCAGCACCACTTTTATAACCATGGTACAATCACTGTAATGTGCAACCTCTTGCGGCTTATTCTCTTATTATTGCCTTGAGTTCAGGTGAATGTGTCTAGTAAACGCAACTTCAGTAGGAGTAAAACGTATCAGGTCTCCTCAAGTGCTGAGTTCGCTGTGTAACTGTAGTTGAGCTTCCTACATCCAGAAACCTTTAGCATAAGGAAATGAAGTCCGTTAGGCACTATTCTTCACTTTTTGGTATCCTTTTATTCTAAAAAGTGAGAGGTGTGAGCAACAGCAAAGCAGTCCAGATGAAATGGAACAGAATGAAAACCCAGATGTAAGTAAATGGGAATGAATAAAATATAACTATGTAAAAAGCAAATTTCCTCCCAAATCTATGTTATAATTGAGTCTATTTAATATTACGATTGGAAAGTAGGAGAAAAATACAGATCTACCAATATTGTACTTGAGTACATGTAGTGCTACTTACCTCTGTCTAAAAAGAAGCAGTGGTACGTGTTCATTTCACCCCAGCCTTATGTGGTATGTGGGCACACTTTGCTTACTTCGTTTCCTGTCTAGTCCAATCATTCTCTCCCTGCTCCTCTTCCTGTCTCTCAGTATGCAGTAGGTGGTGGGGCTGTAAGCGGCTGGATTATGTGCTGTACTGTCCAGACGTGCTCAATGCCTTCCCTACTGTAGCGCTGCCTCCACTGTTCCACGCTTCCTACTGGGAGTCTACTGACGCCATGGCCTTCATCCTCAGACAGGTTAGAGCCGAGTGACGGCCAGTATTGCATCTCCAAACAGTTCCAACTACACCGAGTGTGTTATTACCTCTGAAATTGAGTGCTACATATTGCTGACTTTTTTGCAGTGGTACAACATACTATATATACTATAATATAAAAATATATACTATAATATAAAAATAACAGTTTCTAAATGGTTGACTTGAACAGGGTTTTAGAAAACCCTTTAATTGGCATTAAACATTTCTATTATGTGGAGGTTCTTTAAATTTAAAAATGTTCTTTACACTCACATCTCATTTACAAAACTGGTTCTTTGTAGACCTATCCATTTAAAGGTTCATTAGGGAACCAAAAGTGGTTTTTCTTTGGCTTTGCTCCAAAGAACCTTTTTGGGCACCTTTATTTTTTAAAGTAAAGAATGGCATGAAAGTGAGTTTAGAACTTTTTCCGAACAGACTACAAAATCCTATTTAGTTACCCTTCTTGACTTTGAACATGACAAGCATCCTTTAAGCATCTTGTATACAGATTTAGGCAGAATGCTTTGAAAAAGTAGTGATGTCTGAATACTGAATACACTGTCCTGAATACATTCAGTAATGTATTTCATTACAATACCTAAAAAGAACTGTATTCAGAATACATTTAGAAAACATATTGTTAAAACACATGGAGAAAAATTTGCTGTTGTAATTTTTACTTAATTTACACTGTTACTTGCTGTTACTGGTTGGCAGTTTCTTCATATAATTCTTCAGCTATTCTTAAAATGAATTCTTTCATGAACAATTCTCTCATTTATTTTCAGCATTATTTTTGCTCTTATCATATGCTTCAGTCCACTGCTCCCACAATCCTGCTGCTTTCTCATGAAGTGAGCAAACAATATGGTATATTCCAATATCAAAATCTTGTAAATTTGACTATAAAGTGTGTAGCTATGTGATTTTTAGTTTATTGACACGTATGTAACTTGCCAAGAGATGCATGCAAAAGTCCAGTACAACACTGATACTAAGCTTATTACTTGTGAACATGTTCACTACTGAGGGGATTGTTCAGTTCGTAGATACTGTAGTAATGCTCATCACATTGGTTTATCAATCTACTCAGGCTTTAGCAGAGCTCAATAACACAGAGGTAACAGTTCTAGTATAGCAGCCTATACAACAAGAAACAGCTACAATCTGCATTTTTGTGTCATAAGAGGAAAAGAAGAAGAAAAGATTCTAGTATTTTGCTGAATGAGTTCTGGTTCTTAACGAACCCTGTCTGATCAGGGCGGATGATACTTGATATTACACAGTCTAAATGAGTTGCTAAAATGTTGGCTAACACTTTGATATCCACATTTAGGAAACTGACATGCCTGTATGAACTACATAGCTCAGGATCCTTTCCTTTCTAATGAATGGCAGTTATAGTAGCCATATCACTGAACACTTAAAGAATAAAACAACAAGTAACTGAGGAAGAAGAAGGGAAAAAAGAAAAAGCAAAGAAAAAACTGCTTATCCCCTCTGAACACAGGAAATAAACCAAAACCACAGAAGGAAGTTAAGGCCACAGAAGTAAGGCTGAGCCACGGCACTCACAGACAGCCTTGGGGGGGATTAACCACTGATGAGAATGTGTGTATTTTATCCAGCCCCCTTTCCAATACTATTCACCAGTCTTGCACTTATAACATTTTCTTTTAACCATAAAAACTCATTTTACAGTGTCCATATATAAAGTGAAATTGGATAGTAAGGAGAGGAAAAGAAGAACAGAAAAGCCACCATCCTTAGCTTCTTTACAAGCAGACACAGAGTACTGGGTATCTTTAATAGCTTTCGAAGCTAAAATCATCAGTTATAATATCTGTCCCTGGAGTGCGGGGTATTGAAATGGCTACCTCATCCAAGCACCAAGTCTCCTGATCTCTACAATTTCGCCCCTCTGTTCTGTATAGAGACTGAAAACTTTTCACCCATCCACACTAATTGTCTTTTTGGCTCTCGCATGCAAGATTCCCACCTTGGTAGTTGTACAAATGCAGCAACACTGCTCTGGGTCCAGTGCTTGGCGCTGGCCTCCAGGCTCTGGTGCAATGACACTGCTTCAGTTTAATTTTGCTACTGTTCACTGCAAGATTTCAGAGATCAACTTTTCAAAAATGTGACTGACTGATCTCCCAGTAAGTTTTCTTTTAGACCAAGAATTCTTAGATGCCACCAGCTCCTGTTTTCAAGGACTACAGTCCAGCGCTTAGTGAAGATCTAAGTTGAGCTCTTGAATCTTGCCATCAGTGGCTGTACTGCCAGCTTTTAGGTCTGAAACTCGTTGTTCAGCCCTGTCCACCCTTTTCAATACATTGCCAATTTTGACTCGCGAATGGCTGAGAGTTTAACATCCAGAACTTTAGTAACATTGGCAGTGACCTTGCTAATAATAGTATTAGCATTTGGCATAGCGCAGGTATCACTCGCAGTCACCATCTTGGTTTGCTTTCCCTTGTATCTCCTCATTTTCTTTGGCATTTTTGGCTGATTTTGAAAGGATGTGTTTAGACCAAAGTAGTTGTTGAGTGACATTGTTCATTGATGCGTTGTTTACCAAAGTTTCACAGCTGAACACAATACAAACAGAAACTTGGCCGCCTCCTTCTAGTGCATGGGCAGGCCTTGGGTACTCAGGCTTTAGCAGGAACTTCATTGTAAAGAAGTCGTTTCTCAAGTTCTTTATATACTGTTCTATGATTTTAAAATAGTTAATAAACAAGAGCTGATGGTCTTTCCTTTAAAGATGGTGTAGTTTTTTTTTTTTTATTTACTGGGCAAGTATTCTAGAAGTATTCTTTTAATAATGTAAAACTGTGCTCTGAATACTGCCCTTACAAAAGAAACTGGTACACAGGTACTTCATTTCTGTATTCTGAGTACGCATTCCCAATACTTTTCCGTTATAACCAAATCCTGCTTGTATATTGTCATGTAATGCAAAAAGGTATGTACTTAACCTTTTAAGACATGAACAGGAATATATCACACATCAGTCATGTTGTACTGCTGCTTTGATGAAGCAAAACAACGAGTGATTACTGATCCTGACTGATGTGAAAGAATTTTACTGACACAAACATCTTCACGTGCATTCGTCCTAGAGGGCAGAGGCCATAACCCTTCATACAAGTGGAATTGTGGGATTGAATAGTAGCAGATTTTGACTAGATGTAGTTTGGCTTCCGGATTCTTCTCGTTTAGTCTTTTTCCATCACTGTAGTTTTATGATTTCAGACAGTAGTATTGTAGAGTACTATTGACATGCTATTTAGAGTAGACCAATATGAATTTGCATGCAACTCATAGTTGTTGCTTTATTTGCAGTTATCTAGACCATCAAGTATATAGATGGTCTATGAGTGAACCAGATAATCATTATTAGCAATTTTGGCAAATGGTAAAAAAATGCAAAGTCTTGAACTGCTGTCCACCAGTAACAAAAACATTTCAAGAGAGCCTCTCCTTTCGACACTGCTCCATCCTCCAGACAGCTATGTCTCTGCTGTGTAAAAGCCTTTCAGAGCAGTGTTTGCTCTTGCAGACCTAAAGCTATAACAGCATGTTTGCCATCTCGATGAGCCTCCTGCCAGTAGGCCCAGAGTTGCTCTCACGTAGCTAAAGCTAACAAGCTTTTAGCTATCTCATTCCAGAAAAAAGAGACTCATGCTGAAATGTGTGAGGCTAATAAAAAACATTTTCTCAAAGTATTTTTTTCTGTACTAGCCTTTCAGTGGAAAACAGACTTCAGCTGTCTTCACGAAATGAACATGACAGATACACAAGTAAAAACCTAATGTTAAAGATAGAGAAGAACTAAAGTATTGCAGTCTCACAGCCTGTCTCAACAGCAAAAATACAACAAGTTTTTTTTTAGTAAATGTAACTGTGTATCTCACTTTGGAATGGGAAACATGATGATATCTTAGTGTGATCAGTTGAGCCATGATGCATTTTTCTGAGTATGGTCAGTACTTTGAGAACAATGAACAACCGCATAATTGAGTCCAATTATAGAGAGTCTGTAAACAGCTGTATAGAACTGTATATGGTGTACAGTAGCTGCAAAACAAGCATATAAAAAAGAAGCTATGTCTTTTTTTATGTCATTTTTTATACCCAATTTTAAATATGTTTCAACTACTGTTTTGCTAGTGCATTTTGTCCATTCCAACGTGTTTGCAAACTATGCAATAAACAAACTCACAGCATGGCAGTAGCTGTAAATTACTTTGGTTTTATCAAGAGGGCCATCAATGGAACTTGTCATTTAAAAGCTGTATTTGAACAAGAGGGCTACGGTCAAAGAGTCAGTCATAGCAACATATAGTGCAAGATGAGGTTCAGCCTGAAACTGTGGATGGTTTGAAGGGTCAAACTGGGAAGAAGCATTAACGGTGAAAAAAAAATCGCATCATTATCATTTATCACATTAATGTGTTATTAAAGCATAATTAATGTGTTAACGTTTGACACCACTACTAAATATGCATATTAATGCCTATGTTTGAATATATGTTTAAAACAAAAAATAATAATGTGACTGTGTTTGTGTGTTTAAAAACGGGCTAAAATCACACAGTGTATATCTGGCGGGAATATGCCAAGGCAGAATTTTTAAAGTGACTAACAACTTTGCTTCCAACTGCCACAGCATCAGCAACACTTCACTGTGCAAGTAGATCCTTACCGAACAGTTAAATCACCAAAATGAAATGTATTTATTGACCTGACTCTGTCTAATTGCATATAGGGCGTGTCTTTTTCCTTGTTTTGCCATCTCTGTTTTGTCTTTCCTCCTAGTTTACCTTCCTTTGGGTGTATGATTATATATTTAAATTAATTGCCTAACCTCATTATTTTTGGCGTTACCATGTTCTCTATTGCTGAGCATGGGTCTAAACTGATTGGACAGTATTATTACCAATTTTAAACAAAGTTGAATGTTAAAATCTGGTTAAATAGGTTGAACCAGCATAAATGAAATGGACACTAGTTAATCAACAAAACCTTTATGAGTCGAGTATGACAGCAGTTTTGCCAGTTTTGGTAAATTATGCGGGATCAACAAAATTACCTTCTTTTGAAAGGCAGCACTGCATTGAGGTAGTAGTATTAAGTTGCTTTGCCTGGCTGTAAGTGTTCAAGGGCAGGTTTGAAATATGCCTGCAGAACAAAATGATTAAACAACTCTTAAGAAAGAGGTAATCTAAACTCTACAGAGAAAGCAGAGAAGGTTGATTTTGGCCCCTTCCATTGCTTCCTCTTTATTTTCTCAGTGTGTTCTCAGAGTAGACAGAAAGCCCAGAGGCAGAATTTTTATATTCTCCATTCTGCTTCCTTGGATTTACCAAGGTCAGAAACCGAACAACAGCAAGGCATCAGAATACAGCGTTCAGAGCAGCACTGGGGGTTTTTTATGGCAAGCTGGAGCATTTGAATGTTGAAATGTCAGGGTCAACCCTGTTGCGTGCACACACACAATCTCTCTTTTTCCCAAAACACACACACACACACACACACTGAGGCATGCATGCATGCATGAATTACCTTGTGCTCCGATGGTCATCTGCAGTGCTCTACTGTAGCATAGATCTCCATATCATCAGGATAGGCTGACTCACAGCAGCATCTGCAGGAGATTTCAGCCATTCAAAAATTCAAAACAGTAATCTTTCCTTAACACCAAGTCAAGTGATAAAAAGAGAGAAAAAATAGAGGGAAGGAGGGAGAACAGTGCAATGCAGACTATTACTGGAAACATGCACTTATTCATTGATGAGAATAAAAGATACTGAAGAGTGGAGATCATTTTTCTCTGAGCCAGAGCAGGGGGCAGACTTTGACACTAAGTCCCATGAGAAGTCAAAGACAGAAGAACAAAAGTGAAGGTGAAGGAGAAAGAGAGCAGTAATGTGGAGAGATCAAGAGGACGGAGGAGAGGCCACTGTCAGAGTGATATCTGGAGATATTTCGAATAAAAGCAAGTTATATTCATAATATGGGTAGGTTATGTACCAATATGATATCATGACAATATATTTTGTCACAGTAAGCTTTCTATGCATAACATGGGTATCATCAGAGCAAAATGTACATGAACATCTGCATGTTTTGTTAAAAAGGTTTATTAGAAGAGGTGTTGCTCTGTTGTCATGAGATCCTGTTGCTACTGTTGGTCCTGTTTAAATAGGGTGTAGTAGTGCGCAGAAAAATGTAGAATAAAGTAAGCCATTCTACACATAGCAGGCATTTTTCTAAATGTGCTGCAGCTGTTTCACTAATATGTTGTGTGTTTCCCAGATACTGTGAAAATGTAGTATTATGCTTTCATATTTTTTTTGCCTACCTCTAATCCATGTTTCTAAGATGATGGGAAAATTATGAGTTTATGTGGGATGATTCTGCAAAGAACTGAGGTCTATGAGGTAGCAGGAAGTAAACTGATGCATAAAAATACACAATAAAAATGTCTGTTCATTTCCAGTGGCCTCGACATGCACGGTTGCCCAAAAGATAGTAGTAGTAGTGTGTCATTTTCTTTAACATTTTTAAAACGTTCTTTAAAGAACTATGATTATTTTTCCATAGAACTAATTACACATAGAACAATTTGTCTAAATTGATTTCTCCTTTTTTATTGTATATAATTTTCTTTTTTGTACTTATAAAATCAGCTTAATAATAATAATTAGTGAGGGACTGAAATGAAAATCCTTGGCTGAAACTGAAACCGAAATTCAGGACAAACTTGGCCAAAAACCTTTTTTTATTTGCTGTTATGTTTATGCTTTTGAATAAACACACTAAGCATAAATACAATTGAGGTTTAAGTGGTATTAAACCTGTAGTGGGGATGTTCTAAATTGTTGTACCCGCACTCAATACTTGATGTGAACAGACATTATAAATCGCTTGCTCGTGGCCGACATTTCCCCCCACTGTTAATCTGCTACTGCTCAAACTGCTTGAATGCGTCTGTGCTGTGCCAGCGCAGGAAAGTGAAGGAAACATGCAACTTTTCACTGCTTTTTATTTTCATTACCATTCAAATGATTTTGAAGTGTAATTTTTTGACACTTCCCCCTAGACCTATTTATTTTTTTGTTTCTCTTTTTTTCACTTTTTTCCAAACCAGTAGAAAGTACAGAAATTCAAAAACATGTCTTGTGGAAAAAGTAGATATTCTGTTGCCAAAATAGTACAGACTCAAAATGCCAGAAGTTCCAAGCCTCTAAATTCTCTCTTTCCTCTCTTATTCTTTGCTCTTCCTAATGCATATCATATTTTGTATTTTTCCATATCATGGTACGCATAATGCATTACAAGTAGTTTTACAAATGTCTGTAATGATGAGCCGATGGAACGAAACAGACAATATAATGAATTTGTTGAATATTAGTCTCTGAACAGTTCTTTCTGTTCTCAGGTGTTGCGGTGTGACTGTTTGAAGGCAGGTGAAGCAGACTGCTCAGACGCTATACCCATCTCCCCCTCCAGCCCACGAGAGAAGTGGCTCCGCAGACGAACACATGTCAAACTGAGGGTAAACAATAACCATCAACAACCAACAATAAACACTAACCATCACACCGCACGCAGACACTTCTCACTACATGCAACCAACACCTTTAAAGCAGTGTGAGATGAGCGAGTTGATTGGCTGACAAAATCCTAAGTAATCATTATATCCTTCTTTTCCTATGTGTGACATTATACTAACCCTAATGATGCAAATGACCCTAATAATGAATTAGCTGTGGTCCTTCTTCAGTTACAGTTACCTAAGCTACAGACAAATTTGTCACCTTTCTAAAAAAAAATCCTGTTTTAATGGATGGAAAATTTAATGCATGAGGAACAGCACAAAGAATTCTGAGAGACGAAACAGCACAGCAGCATACTACTACTGTCATTATTCATCAAGTCCATGTAGTATTTTATTTCTATGAGCTAATCCAAATTAGCATCACTTTATTTTGCCAAGTATGTTACATGTACAAGGAATTTGTCTTGGTGAGTGCACACATGTATGACTTGTAACATGCTGAACAGACTAGACAGACTAATGATAAATATTTCCTTAAGGGACACGAAAAACAAAAATACAATAAGTAGAATAGAGTAATAATAAACGGCCAATGAGAAAGGAGCTAAGAGAAGCGTGGATCTCTGTACATAATCAAATATGAATATCTACACAATATGTCTGAGTAGACATGCAATATAATAACTATTATATGCAGAATTTTACTGAATGATGCGAACATTTGTAAAAAAAAAAAATTAACATTTGTACAGTCGTGCAAACAAGCAGAAGAGTAATACTAGAGTACAGTAAGGGAGGTTTGTTAGATTCAGTTTAAATTTAAATTTAAAGTGCAGGGTGTCCTTTTCGGTTAATGAGCGCTACGGCTCTGGGGAAAAAGCTGTCTGGCTGTGCTGGTTTTGATGGCCCTGAATCTTCTACCAGAGGGAGGTGATGTCCAGGATGAGAGGAGTCAGCCGTAATTTTGCCAGTACGCTTCATTACCTTGCTGTTGTAGATGTCCTGAAGCGTTGGCAGACTACGTCCAATCAGATCAGCAGATTCTCTCTGCTGCCCTGATTATGCAGTGGACTTTGGCTCGTGTTTGTGAGGTCGAGGAACCAAACCAGATGGTTATAGATGATGTGAGGATGAACTGGATTATCTTTTTGTGGAACTGGATTATCAGACTCTGGGGCAGATTGAATTTCTTCAGCTTTCTCAGGAAGAACATTCTCTGCTGTGCTGTCCTGGCTCTAGAGGCCGTGTTTCTCTCCCACTTCAGTTCCCTGGATATGGTGGGGCCCAGGAACTTGAGTGACTCCACAGTGCTGTTAAGAGGGTGTGGGGGTTTTGCGCCTGAAGTCCATCGTCATTTCCAGTTTTTTGCGTGTTCAGCAGCAAGTGGTTGCTTTTACACCAGGCGACCAGCTACTTGACTTACTTTCTCTTTCTTTCTAAAGCACTAGGAGTGACCAACTAGCACCAGTTTTCACAAACATCTTCAACAAATCATCAGAACTTTGCTCTGTTCCCACTGGACTAAATGACTACAGGCTCGTAGCCCTGGCCTTCATAGTCAGAGAGCTTTTCTCACTTTTTGTCTGTGAAAAGCCTGATAACATCCTGCTCATTGATGCTGAGATGAGCAGGGGGCAGAGGTGACAGAGCCAAGGTGGGGGAAGGAGCTGGGGGACTGGTGGAGAAAGGCAGAAAATGCCTTTTGTGCATTCAAATCTGAAGTAGAACTCATTGAGGTTGTGGGTGAGTTGGCTGTCATTCAAGAGAAGGGGAGTTTTTCTCACCTTGTAGTAGGTGATCTCTTGGAGGTCTTTCTAAATTGAAGTCCTTGGCAGCAATGTGGCTTTTCAGCTTTTCTGAGTGTTTTTTGTTTCCACCTTTAATCCCGTTCCCTCTGAAGCCAAAAATCATGGTTTATCGTTACTCTTATGCTTTAACTAAGATAACATTGGCAAGGTCTTCCTGACGATTTGAAGCAGATTCTAATTTGTGCTGGGTTTGTCAGATGCTGCAGCGGCAAATTGATTGGAATTCATTTGTTCCTACAGTTTTTTTTTACTGTATCTCACTAAATCAACCTAATGGGCCATCATTAAGGTTAGCTTACAGCTCGTTTTGCCTGAGATTCATGCTGTTTTTCATAGAACACATTGATTTCTATGGATTGCTGCATGAGTTTGCATGTCTGAACTAGTTTTGAGCTCCTTTTGCCTCATAAGCTTCTGATAAGTTTCCAGTAAAATATACAGGATTTATTAATATTTTAATTAATTATTGGATGCAGTGTGTGGTGCTACATCTGTAACAAATGATTTGACTGTTCCGTGCTTTGTGCAGTGCAAAGTGAGCAGAGGTGGTAGGGCTCTTGCAAAGAAATGGGAGGTCCATGAGGTCACAAGGTGAGGAGGACATGGTCCCAGTGAGCACATCTGTTTTCAGCATTAAAACCTGCTAGAGTCTGCACTAGGTCTAAGCTAAGAACAGTGTGCCATTTCCCTCGCAAAAAGGTCCAAAGTGTCCCTCCCAATTTTGAGCATTTTTCCAAGTTGAACTAGAGCTTACTAGTTATCTGACACTAGAGGGGTGTCATTACTCATTAATGTACTCTTAACAAAGCTACAGGGCGAGGACCCTTCCCTGTAAGTCTGGGTACAATGATAGTATCATTATAATGATAAAACATCACAATAAGCTGACCGGCCACTTCAGTAGGTACACCTACCTTGTTTCTACACTCTTTTTTATCAGCTTCACTTACCATATAGGTGCACTTTGTAGTTCTACAATTACAGACTGTAGTCCATCTGTTTCTTTGCATACTTTGTTAGCCCCCTTTAACCTTGTTGTTTAATGGTCAGGATGCCCACAGGACCTGATCCACTCATACCAGCACAACACACACACAGACTAACACACCACAGTCATGTCAGTGTGACTGCAGTGCTGAGAATGATCCACCACCCAGATAATATCTGCTCTGTAGGGGTTCTGTGGGGATACAAGTAGTACGTACGCGATGTACTTAACGAAAAGGCTAGACAGTGTATATCACAATATACTTTTTGGAGCATATCGTGGATATTGTCAGTGGTTCTAGAACACTAAACAACCGCATGTTTTCTTAAAAAGATCATAACTAGGTAACTAGGCCTCATTAACAGGATTTAGTGCTGTGCAGTGTGTGAAAGCCATTGTGTTTAGCCAAAGCAGCTATTTGAAAGACATGAGATAAGTAATATGGATTGACTGAGAAGCGTTATGTATCGTGTTGTTTTCGTGACTACACAAAGTGAATTTTATGCCCTCTGTAAGACAATATGTTTTGCAGAAAAATGCTTGGAGGAAGTGGAATAGGCAACGCATTAGATGAACATGCACGATTATGAAAATAACAATATGCCATAGATGTAGTAGCAGTCTCTGTACACCAATGCAGAATAGGGCTGTTTGTGTTTTACACATGGTTTGCATCATATAAATACGGAATTGCGGTATGAACATAAAGAACCTACTGATGAGAGCAAACTATGGCTAGTATTGTTACAGTGATGAGAACAGTGGAAAGACATTGGGAAGACATTGTGTTCCACCTCTCTAGATACATGTATGCTACTGTGTAATTTTTCGCACAGATACAGAGGACTGGCTTTGTAAATGCACGTGGAACTGTATTCTCTTTTGTCATCCATTCAGTTAACGGACAATTTACCTTCTCTGTGAATTGGCAGTGATTAGTTGGCAATTTGCATTGTGATAATGCATTTTAAAATGTCCTACAGGTCTCACTTAGAAACAGAGTCTGATAGACACACCTATTTATGTACATTTTGGCCACATAGTTTTTAGACATCCTTTATTTTTAAAGGGTTCCTAGTTTATCTTTGTCCAGTAAAGTATTTTGTCTTTGAAAGGTTGCTCAGTTAAGTCATTTTTATTGTCTGATCTTGTTTAAAACTCTGATTACTTGAATAATCATCTAAATAATATGTAGGTTTCTTGATTACTAATGTAATCAACAGTGACAGGCCTGTCTTTGACATTATGATTCTGGTGATTGAGCTTGAATATCACTGGCAAATATGCCCTTGAAGAGCATTGAAAATCTCTTTATACACATTATTCTAAGCCTGGAGCCTTACAAAAAGTGACAAAAGCAAATTTTCAAATACACTCTTGGCTGCCAAATTGAAAATCAAATCTCTTGAGAATTGTGAGGTTTTCTTATTCCTCAGTGGCAGCAAGTAGCCTCTCTACTCGTCTGCCTCCAGAAAAAAGCAGTTTTGACAGTAGCATAGCTCTTTATTAAAATGCCCATTGAGTTGTATTTTTTCATTTTCAGCTGAAATAGGATGTGCAGGAGAAAGACACTTCATATCTCACTGTGCAGGAGAGCACAGAACTACTCTAGAACTGTGCTGTACTAGATAGCTTGCAGCCACCTCCAATAGAAATATATGGTTTAGGGCAGAGTGAAGCAGAAAGAACACTGTGTGGGGTTGAATGAAGAGTCCATCGACAAAACGCTGATTGAGATTAGTCTTTTCTTGGGTGCTTAGCCCCAGAAGGGCGGTAGTGCTCACCAAAAAGGGTTGTCTGCCCAGCCATTACAAATCTGACAAAAAATAATAAGAAGAAAATAATTGTAATTTTTTTTTAGTTTCTAATTGATGATAGACCATTTCAAATATGCCAGAAGACTTGGTCTGGAATAAGAGCCATATTAAATCTGTTATCTGTTTACTGGCAGTCATTTTTATGCAGTACTGTGCAAAATTCAGAGACCTCCCTTGATTTATTTCATTTGCAGTCAAAACGGCCTCTAAGAATCAGTTATTCATTTTTCACAAACCATATTTTGCTTTTATTACAGCTTCTAATCTTTTAGGGAGACTTGCTTACAGTTTTTCTGAGAAATCTGCAGGGATATTTTTCCACACCTCCAAAGTTTTAGAAGTTGGTTGTATTTTCTGCTTCTCACCATCAAATTAAACACTTTCAATTATGCTGAGGTCAATAACATGGTCACTCTATTCTGAGAATACCATGAGCTTCTTTCTTTGACTTTTCTTCTTTTTTGTCTATTTCTTGTTCTCAGTAACAGCTTCTTGACAGCTACACATGCTTGCAGACCCATAGCACTGAGCTGTGTTCTCACAGTGGAAGGATGGACAGAAACACCTGCAGATTTTTTTCAGATCTGAAGCAAGAATGAGACTTGATTTTCTCCTCTCTCTCAAAGATGAAAAGCTTTAAGTGCTGTTTATCTGAGGGGGATGGGTTTGGTGGTCTACCAGATCTTGTGCAGTTGTCAGGAGTCTCATTTTTTCTATAACTTTTAATGTTTTTTTTTTTTACTGAGATCAGGTTTTTCACTTACTGTCCTTTGATTTTCACCTTCCTTATGCAAGTGGATTATCTTATTTAATATTATCTTATATCTAATTTCCTCAGAAACATCTCTTAAAAAAGGTATAACATGCACTTAATGGCTGTTTAGACTGTAAATTAAATAAATAAAGGGAGGTCTCTGACTTAAACACAGTACTGTAGGTAGGTAGCTAATGTTTTAGAAACGTCAGGTTCAGCAGTAGGAGTCTACTTTGAATGATCAGCTGCCAGATTGCTTGTTAGAGTGCGGTAGGCTAACATTGGCCTGCTTAGCTAAGTTGGCTCTGTCACTTAGCTTTTGTTGTGTGTTGAGTGTTCCTCTTACTTTTTCATTCAGCAATCAAGAATGTAAAGATGATGGCAAAATTGTTCTGCAAACACAAACCGAACTGCTTCTTGTACTGATACTGTGCCTGGCATTTCTGCTGACCCTGCTTCAGGTCACTTTTCTCATCTAGTAACGTCACTGTTTCATCTCTGTCCACAGAACGTGACGGCTAACCACAGAGTGCATGACGTGATTGCGACGGAGGACGGCCCACAGACGCTCGTGGGCAGGTTCATGTACGGCCCTCTGGACATGGTCACCCTCACAGGCGAGAAGGTTCTGCAAGCTTTCTAAAATTAATATTATGGAAGAATTATTTGTAGAATGATGGAATTCACATTTACAAGCATCACATGTGCTGTATGAATGTGTTGTGACTGTCTTGGAGGTACAGAATCAGTTTCCTGCTAGCATTTTATGTTTACTGTTCTATTTGTGGATATTTATATGACATACAGTTGTACGCAAAAGTTTTGTTTATGTTCGAAGTGAAAATAAGTACATGTCCTCTGCAGAGAACACACATGTGCACATGGTAATGCACACATACTGTCAAAATACATATACATATTTGTACATGTATTTTGGCAAATTGAATAAAAAAAGACTTAGAAAATCACCAAAATCAGCGTTAATGTTCCTAAACTTTTGCTAATAAAAAGTAATGTAAGAAATTGGGATGGAAATGCATTTGCTTGAGAAATAATAAATGTGAACAGAATAAAGTCATATCCAGTATTTTGACAGAGGGTGGCAGGTACCAGTGAACTAATAACAAATTAAAAGGTACCTTTATTTTTATCAAAGGAAAAAACATAACTGTAATATTAGATGATGAGACATGAGGTGTCTGCAGCTGATAAATAAGCTTTTCTTGATACGCTGTGTTCTGTCAGCCTGCTGTGATGAAGTAAAATATAACTGAAATTAACCAAAACAGCGACAAGAAGATGCTCAACCTTAAAAATTTCTCTGTAAACTTGATCCATATTTCTCAGAAGTGCTTTACGAACGCAACATGCAGAGTTTTGTTTTCTTGTACAGAGCTAATGGAAACTTGGCTAATTCCTATAATGTTTTTGCAACACTGCAGTCGATTCACTTGAAATTAATTAGACAGCTGGATGGACACCTGGCTAGTGACTAGCACTAGGGGACTACCTGCAGGGGACTTTTGTCCTTGATTTCGAAATGGTAAATCAACCTTGTCAAGTTATGGACAAGTTGGCTTTTTCTGGCCGTTGTAGTTTCATAGTTTCTCCATCTGAAGCCACTGTGAAATGCATTCTTTTCCTCTCAGGTGGACGTGTTTTCGATGACTCAGCCTGCGTCTGGTCGCTGGGTGCTGTTCGACACTGAGGTGACCAGCAGCAGTGGCCGTGTGACCTATACCATTCCTGCAAATAAGAGACTGCCTGTAGGCGTCTACCCTATCAAAATGGTGGTGAAGTGAGTGATCACATATTCTTCACAAACAACAATATTCAAAACTTTATGTACTGAAAAAATGTTTAATTGTTCACTAGAACATTGGGCCTCATTCACCAACTGTTCTTAAGAAGAAATTTCTTATTAAAACCCACTTATGCAGTTTTCACAAAGTTTCTGACATTCTCTTGCTTAAGAACAGAATCTACACACACTCAAGAGCACAAAGTTTGAACAGTTGAAGAACAGCATGAATCTGACGTGGACTTTTTCTTAGGACCTTTCTCAAAAACGAATTTAAGAAAAAACGTAGGAGGATATTGGTGAATGAGGCCCATTATTAGTAGAAAAATTATGAGTTTGCCATTAATTGTAACATGGCAAGGGTGCATAAACTCTTATAAAGATACATTGAGTACAGTTACGCTTAACCTTTTTGTTTTTTAATACTTTTTTAAGAGGTGACCAGACGAGTGCAGAGGCTTTCCTCACTGTGCTGCCGCAGGGAATGGAGTGTGTGGTGTTCAGCATTGATGGCTCATTTGCTGCCAGTGTCTCACTCATGGGCAGTGATCCTAAAGTCCGGCCCGGAGCTGTAGATGTGGTCAGGTGAGCGCCTATATGAATTTATAACAACGAACAACAGTTAAGACATGGCCTGACTGATAGAGAAGCGTTCTACAGATACTGTTATTTTTGGTAACAACACAGTTTTTTCATTCTGCTAAGCACTAGTTGCTAAGTAACTGTTCACTTTACGCTGCATCTAACTGTTACTCTGCTTCTGCTTCAGCACATCCAAAATAGAAAATAACTTCTATAGTATAATATTTGACCTGCAGGCTATAGGTTAGATTCTAAAGAGTTTAATAGCAGGACTACAGCAAATTCTGAACTTGCCCCAGACAGTGTTTCCTACACAGAGGTTACACTTTGGTGGTGTTACCAGGTTTATGGACACCTGGCCAAGTATATTTTGACCATTTAAAACCTGTTGAGCATAGAGCATCATGTAGCATGAAGTTGGGTGGCTACTACACATAACTAACAAAGTTGTCCTGTCTGAATTTGCTTTCCCTAAGTTTGGAAGAATGCCTAGTTGGGGTTACACCAGTGTTTCTGATATTTATTTAACAGATGAGTAATGAATAATATTTTAAGAAAAAACCACATGAGGAGAGACTCTGATGACTCTGAGACACTGATGTGTGCAGATTCACAGAGAAGTACTCTAAACTTGCTTAAACCTTACTGAAATGCTGTCAGAAGACATGGATATAACTGAGATGAGCATTTTCATGATGCCAATATTAGAGGAAGAGACATTTTTGATTCTAGTTTGCATCTTCATTTTTGATGTGTTTAACCTGTCTTCTTCTTTGTCATAAAATGAAAAAGTCTAAAAGACTGTACTATGATCTACCAGAGCCAGAAGGCTCAGAAATAGGTGACTGACATACACTAAATGGATAAAAGTATTGGGACACCCCTCCTAATTATTGAGTCCGGGTGTTTCTGGGGACTGGGGGGAGGGGTGTAAAGCACACCGCTACTGGACTCTGGAGCAATGGAAACATATGCTTAGGAGCCACGAATCACGCTTCTCTATCTGGCAGTCTGATGGGATTGGAAAATGCCAGGAGAACGTTACCTACCTGACTGCATTGTCCCTAGTGTAAACTTTGGTAGAGGAGGGATAATGCTATGGAGTTGATTTTCAGGAATTGGCCCAGGGCCCTTAGTTCCAGTGAAAGGGAAATCTTAATGCTTCTGCAGACCAAGACATTTTAGACAGTTGTACACTTCCAGCTTTGTGGAAACAGTTTGGGGAAGACCCTTTTCTGTTCCAGTGTGACTGTGCACCAGTGCACAAATCAAGATCCATAAAGGCATGGCTGGGTAAGTTTGGTGTGGAAGAACTTGACTGGCCCGCACAGAGCCCTGATCTCAACTCTACTGAACACCTTGAGGATGAACTAGAATGGAGATTGCGAGCCAGGCCCTCTTGTCCAATATCAGTGTCTGACCTCACAAATTGCTCTTCTGGATGAATGGAAGAGTGGAAGCTGTTATAGCCGCAAAGGGGGATCAACTCAATGCCTATGGATGTAGAATGGGATGTCATAAAAGCTCCTGTAGGTGTAATGTGTAGGTGTCCCAATACTTTTGTTTTGGACTGTGAAATGCTTTAAAGACTTACAAAACAACAACATTCAGGCTAATATGCCAAGTATTGTAAAAGTTGAACCTGGTGTTGTGACAGTTTTATGCCTGTATCTGTAACACAAAACGATGCTAACTGCTTTCTTGGTTTAAGAAATTGCAAATAATAGAGCACATTTGATACAACATTCAGGGCTTCTTCTTAACTCGCCTTTGGCCAAGTCACAGCCATGCTGTTATTTAGGGTAACACACTCTATCTCATGTTTGATTGCTGGAGTGCGAGCGCGTGTGTGTGTATGTGTGTGTATGATTTTCCTCAGGCACAGATTACTCTGCTATTACCAAAGGCCATATTGCTGCTGTGTTTCAGACACTGGCAGGACCTTGGTTATCTGATCATTTATATCACTGGTCGGCCAGACATGCAGAAGCAGAGGGTGGTATCCTGGCTCTCCCAGCACAACTTCCCCCAAGGCATGGTGTTCTTCTCTGAGGGGCTCGTCCACGATCCCCTGCGTCAGAAAACCATCTTTCTTAAAGGCCTGGTTAAAGAGGTAATTTACACATGTGCACACTCAGCAAACACAAAGGTTTAATTGCATATTATAAAAGACATTTCTGCTTCTAAAATCTGATTGGTTGAGCCAGTTTTAAATGACTGCAGATGTCTGTTGAATTCTGTATTGATGCATGAAGTTGAATACAATTTAAAAGCACTCATTTCCAGACCTGGAGAAGTATGGCAATTCACTAAATGTACTGGGAAAATATAGATGTTCTGTTGTTCAAATAGTCTAGACTCCAGATACTAAAATTTTAAATCCCAATGTTTTTAGATATTCTTTTATTCTCTGCTTTGCCAGAGCTTTCCTTAGACATGTCACATTTCATGGTTTTCCTTGCCGTGGTGCAGATATTGCTTTACAACTTGCAACAAAACTGAATGTAGATAGTTTGAAAAGTTAAAAAGAATCTCAAAATGTTTCTAAAAAGTGTAGAATTTCATCATAAGGAAAAAAAAACAAGAACCTTGACTTGTCTACATTCCCTCTGCTCTAAGTCATACAATGATGTCTGGCACAGATACAGTTTCCCTGTAATAGTTGAGTGGAATGAGTCTGATTTGTTGTATGCAGCATGCCGAGTGGAAAAGGGCTTAACTGCTGGCTCTATAGCCTCATCTCTGTTTCTTCAGCAGAAAAGATTTAATGACTTGAATTTGAAACACACCCTCCGTTTCCCAAAATGAGATTCAAGCTCAGCGGTGCAGAACTGTTGCCTGCAAATGAGGGCCAGTAAACAACAAAGGTTTACAGTAGATTACTTTTTGCATTCATTTAAAACCTAGTGTGTGAATTTTAGTTTGCGTGCCCCCTTGACTTGTATTGTCCTCATGAGTTGAGTGTGTAAACACAGGAATTGATTGTTAAATCAAGCCTGCAGCCCATATTTACATATCAGACAGGTATTCACAGTAGGGTTAGGGGGATAATATTTTGAATTGTACATTTGTTTATTTCACACTTTACAGTTTTACCATATTTAAATTGTCTGAGGAAATAGAAATTGTCTACATGGGCATGAAACTGAAGCTCAGTCCCAACCCCAACCCACAGCTTTAAGGCATGACCCGATTGTGGATTATCGGAAACAGGGTTTAATAGTATTTTGCTTTGTTACTAAGTGCTTGAGTTCAATGTCATACTAGGATAAACTGGTATTTTGCACATCCATAATGCACAAACAGTATTTATTACCAGTATATTTTTGTGGAGTTGCAGGTCGTACCTGGCAGAGAACAGCATCGATGCTCCTCTGATTTACTGTTAGTCCCACTTAGATAGATAGATAGATAGATAGGTAGATAGATAGACAGACAGACAGACAGAAAGACAGATAGATAGGAAGCTTAGCACCACTTTGCTAAAGTTCCACATTTTGGACAAGAAAATGTGTTCACATGTAAAAAAAAACTGTGATTACTTGTCAACACATGGTTTTTGCACACTTCAAAAGTCAAGTATATGTGACTTTTCTGTAAGGGTTAATAAGGCACTGTTTCTCATTTATATTTGAATTTCACCATCTTTCTAGCTTAGTGTTTTCTTTGATATGCAACTTAAATGCATTATTAGCGAGTGAAAATGCATGTAAGATAAATTGCATGTAAATAAATCATTTTGACACCATCACATTAATCACATTGAGCATAAATAAACAGTTCTGGAAATACATTTTAAATGAAATAAAGCTGCTCATAAAGCTTCAAAAGCTTTGTGTAAATGTGAAATGTCAATACTAGTATACCAAATGGGCCAATTAAAATTGCAGTATTAAATTAGAATTTTCATTTTGTGCTCAACTTCTATGAGCATATATGAGTGGGAAATTTAAATGCACAAATACAAATACATTGCCATTTTACATATTACATTTTCATTTTAATTTTGATACTGATATGTTTCCATAAGATACACTGTGGCCAGTGTTTTCACCAACCAAACACTTCCCTTTAATCGTCTAAGATGCTGCACTGATGCACTCTAGAAAATCATCCCCGTTTTCAATCAGGAGCATGTCCACTAACTCTGTAGCTATTCCAAACACAGTTATTGTTAGAAACGCTCAAGAGAAGGACAGAGCATGTACATGTGAGAGAGAGAGAAAATCTATTGCATAAAAATTCACTCTTTTGAAAACAGGACCGAGCCCAACTAAGCATGATGTTATATGTGAAAAATCGTCCCAAAACGTGATATATAGTCGGACCCTGTCAGGCTTAGGTCATGCAGAAGACCTTAAAAGCCAAATAGATTTACAGGTAATTGTTAGCCTTCCAGTATTACATCAGTAAAAACTCTGAAGTATGGTAAGAGGCTAATACCATTGTAACTCTAATCAATTTGTTTGTTTCTGCTCTGTAGTGTCACATTAAGATCAGTGCAGCGTATGGCTCTATGAAGGACATGTCTGTGTACAGTGCTCTGGGGCTGGAGCCTGCTCAGATCTACATTGTTGGAAGGCCATCAAAGAAGCACCAGCACCAGTGTCAGGTACTGCTCATGCCATTTTATTACCCACACATAAACCTTAATATTAGTATTAACTGAGCATCACAGTGCAGAGATGAAAGGAGGGCAGGCAACTATAACAGACAGCAAATCTGTTCTTTGTCCACTAGAGCTGTAAATCTCTGACCTTTCAACAATGCAATTCTATTAGATTCTCTTTGCTATTTTAGTATAGAATTAGATTTAGAATTATGTTTATACCAAACCAAACACGTTATATTCAAAATGTTTCATATTTCAACAAAACCAAAGCCATATTTCCGTTTTTAAAAATTCATGAAGTGCATGCTATATGAATGGTATTCACTATACTTGAGTAAAACATTCCACACCGGGTGGATCAACATCTTTAGATCGACATACTTACTATCCACCCTTTCTTTGAAAGGTATTTTCTGGCCCTTCATCTTTCTTGTCTCTCTGCTCTTCTCAGTTCTTGAGTGAGGGCTACGCGGCTCATCTCTCCATGCTGGAGTTTGAGCACGGCTCGCGCTCTAAGAAGAACCGTATGATCCTTCGTCAGGGCTCTTTCGGCCTTTCCTCCAAGCCTGAGTTCCTGTCACCCTCACCAGACTTCCTGTCCTGCAAGCGCACTCCGCTCTTACGCCGTGCCATGTCCGTCCAGCAGCCCTCTCCACCCTCCTCCTCGGCCTCCACACCCAAACCTGAGCGTGCACAGAGCCAGCCTGAGTCCCACAAGGACGGCCCAGAGATCCGTATTGAGCTGGACGATCAGGACGAGGAGAAAGGGGGCTTTGCAGCGGTGCTATAAGGGGTCACTTAGTGGAAAGAAAGCGAGTAGTCTGAGCCTCAAATTCTCCACCTTCAGAGTTACAACTGTCTTACATATATTGAACGCGAAGGTGGCCTTAGCTATCACAGTCCTGTCAGTTACACTCTCATTGGCTATCTGCACTGCCACGTGTGCACACTAATGTGCACTGCTTTGACAGGACACATTTTTGTTCATCAAGCTAAATTCTAGCTAGTCACCAGCAGCAAGCAGTTGATCACTGTGGCCACCATGAGCCTTTTGGAGCAAGATGTGGTCAGTGGAGTGAAAAAAAGTGCCATTGATGGCAACCCATTTTTAAAAGTTATTCAATTTCTTTGGTGTCTCCTGGTGGTCACTAAACCATCATAACACTTTGTTTCAGGTAGGTCTGCTTTTGTTGTGGCATCGTTTTGACAAGCTTCTGCCCCTACAGTGCTGTGAAAAAGCATTTGCCCCCTTCCCAGTTTGTTCTATTTTTGCATATTTTTCAAACGTGAATGTTCGGATAATCAGACTACTCTGAATATTAGACGAAGATAACCCAAGAAAAGACAAAATGCTGTTTTTAAATGATGATTTCATTCACTGAAGGAAAAATGCTGTTCAGCAATACCTGGCCCTATGTGAAAAAGTAATTGCCCCCTTTGCTACTAAATCAACCAGTTAACCTAATTCAATCGACTACTGGGTTCAATTTCACTAGTCACACTCAGGCATGATTACTGTCAGACGTGTTGAATCTAAATCTTAAATAGGACCTGTCTGGCAATGTGAAGCAGGCTAGAGGCTCTCGAACAGCAGCACATGATGCCACGTTCTAAAGAGATTCAAATACAGATGTGAAACAAAGTCATTGAAATCTCCCAGACTGGCAAGGGTTTCAGAGCCTTCGCTAAGACTCTGGGACTCCAGCGAACCACAGTGAGAGCCATTATCCGCAAATGGAGAAAACTTGATGTGAACAGTAGTGAACCTTCCCAGGAGTGGTCAGCCTAACAAAATTTCACCAAGAGCGCATCGACAACTCATCCAGGAGGTCAGACAAACGTCTAAAGAACCGCAGGTCTCACTTGCCACAGTCAGTGTACACAATTCCACAATAAGAAAGACACTGGGCAAAAATGGCATCCATCAGAGAGTTGCAAGGTGCAAACCACCGCTGACCAAAACGAACACAATGGCTTGTCTTGCATTTGCCAAAAACATCTAGATGACCCCCAAGAATTTTGGGATAATATTCTGTGAACTTATGAGTCAAAGGTGGAGTTTTTTGGAAGACATGGATCACGTTACATCTGGCATAAAGCTAACACAGCGTTCCACTATAAGAACATCATAGGACAGTTAAACATGGTGGTGGCAGTGTGATGGTCTGGGGCTGTTTTGCTTCTGCAGGACCTGGATGACTTGCCCTAACTGATGGAACTATAAATTCTGCTCTCTGTCAGAAAATCCTGAAGGAGAATGTCCGCCTGTCAGTTCATGACGTAAAGCTCAAGCGCAGGACAATGGTCAATTGGGGCAATTTGTTTTCATATGGGTGATTTAGGTTTTAAGTAAATCTTTATCTTTAGTAAATGGAATAATCATTTAAAATCTGCATTTTGTGTTTACTTGTGTTGTTTTTATCTTATAATAAAATTTGTTGATCTGAAACATTTAAATGTGACAAATTAGCAAAAATAGAATAAATCGGGTGAGGGGCAAATACTTTCACAGCAATGTACATGCCACACAAAACAGTGCTTTACGGTTAATCAGTTTGCATGTAGGTCAAATAGTCCCATCCTGTCAAAGTAGCCAGATCTCGGGTGAAATGAGCGCCGAAACCTAACAGCCTTTTTGGTGATAGATATCTGGCTTGTGAGACTGCAAATCATTATGACTTTGGTGACGTTTTTGTTCATCAAATTTTGGCTAGTCACCAGTAGCAAGCAGTTGCCTGCTCTGCACACTGTGACAGCTATGAACCTTTCTGAGCATCAAATTGGCATCAAATTTACTTTCTGCCCTTCTGGCATCACATTTCTTTGCTGGTTCCCTGGTGGCCACTAAACCATTATATACCACTGTTTCATGCAGGTCTATTTTTGTGGTAGCACTGTTTTAACAAGCTCCTGCCCCTAAATAAGAACAGGTAGTAGCTGGCGGATCTTGGCTGAAATGAGCGCTGAAACCTAAAAGGGTTTTTGATTGCTAGACGTCTGGCTTGTGAGACCCCAAAGGGAGTGATGACAGTCCTGTGGTAAGATTTAGTTTAAATGTTAGTTCTTTATCAGATGTTTTATTCAATGGCCTGTAAACAATCTTTTTTGAGGTGAAAGGTTCATAGTAGTCCTGCATAATACACTTTTTCCTTATCTGACACTTTTGCCCAGCTGGACATGCAGAGGTTAAGTGCCAAGGACAATGGAAATGGCAGTGGCAGGATGTTATTAGCTGAGATGTCCTTGTGGGTCACACAGCTCAGTTCCCCTGCTGCTGGCTTGCCTCGACCCCTGGAACAAAATTCATAGTTTAACATGAGCTGTTTCACAGTTGCCATGGAAACCATGTCATTCAATAAATCCTTCATTCGGTGATGTTTGATGAAGTGTACTGACAAACACTCATGCAGTGCTCAGTGCAGGCTATCATTTGTGGCAGGGCTTTCATTTGCGCCGGACTGCTGAGAAGCCAAGAGGCCCATTGGCTTACGGAGCTCCCATTTGGTTTGCACTGACGCACTCGAGCTGCTCTGCGTCACCCAGGCCTCCACAAGCTGTCAGGGGCTGAATGAGCCGGTCTGCATGAGACCAGCTGAGAGTCCTGGAGAAAATAGCCCTCACTGCATTGTGAGATGTGCTCTAGCTGAGAGTAGAGAAGGGCTTCTTATGTCTCCATTTACTCTGGAAGGAGTCGATTGGGTCCCTGTGGCATTGTTGACCACACTGTGGGCTGAGGGTGCATTTATATGGAGCAGTTAGGGTTGGTTTTCTCCCAGTGGCTGTTAGAGCTTATTGTCACTGTCATAACAAAACCTTTAAGGAGATAATAAAGGGTACATTAATATATTGTGATTTTATTCCTAATATTTTTGGACCATCTCTAATGGTCATGAAATGTTCACAAAAAATGTTCACAAGGTTTTGACGCGGCAGCGACAATACCTTCCTTGTTTTCTGTTACAGCAGGGTGCTGAGCAAGAAAAAAAAGCTTGGTTACTTTGTAAATGAAGTCTAAAATGTGAAAGTCCATGTGAGAAACTAAGTAATTGATTTACTGTGCTGTATTACACGGAATAATCTTTTGAGAGGAGTGACAGCATTGCTGTAAATTATTTCCAGGCAGTCCATGATAAACAAGAGGACTAGTGATTAAAATCATTTGCACTACAGTGTAACACCTACCTGAGTGCAAAATAATAGAAGACTCTCATTTATTGAAACAGACGTCTTATAGCTGTTTTGTCTTACTGTCAGTGAAAACTGAGGCTAGGTGGTGAAGTGCACAAATACTGTGGAAAAACAAGAATCTGAATGTCGTAGTCTGTTACTTGACCTTGAGATGTGCATGTTCTCTGAAGATCATCGTGAACCTTGTGAAGTGTTCATAACTGATAAAACTCCTGTTCTCTTTCTCCTTCAATAGTACCTGAATGCACATTAAATGAATTGGCAGTTTATTAGGTATACCTACACTGAGTGACTATTTTACTTTAACAATGCTGCTGTGCCTCATACATTAGTAACACCCACTAACATTCACACTAGTATCACCGCTGTGTTGAGAATGGTCCACCACCCAGATTATCAGCAGTGGTCCTGCGGTGGTCCTTTTCCACTGATTAATGTGGCTGATTGTAGTGGTGCAACAGATGGGCTGCAGTAATTGTCAGTAATTGTAAACCTCTAAATTAGGGCCTGACTGATATTTTGGTTGATAATACTGGCTGATCCTGAGGTTCTGCAGATTTAGCAGTATCAGTTAAAGCACCAATACCAATACAGATACCTCGGATGTGATGAAAACTGGTCACTTCATAAAGATTACTAAGATGATGGTCAGACTGAACTGGTGAATTTTAACAAAACACCATGGTTAGAATAACAAAAACGAGTCATGTATCTAAAACCAACATTTAGCATGAGAATAACAAAACATTTATTTTACAAAAAGTTTATTTTAATGAAGAGACCTAATGGAAAACTGTAAAATTAGTGGTAATAAACAGAAAAATGAAAAAAAAATTAGAACAAATTAGGAGAAACCAAAAAAAAACACTAAGAAAGCTGGTGAGACGTTTTAACCAATTAAATGGCCTGGGGCCGCCGATGGGCCCAAAGTTTTATTACACACTTCTAACCTAAGAATAGCTCAACCCGTTTGCATTGAGGTCCCTGAAGTTACTGAATAATAAGCCTTAGAATGTAACAAACCTGGGATTTTGAGTGGTTAAACAGCATTTCTGCTGTTTTAGAAAGTTGACAACTGACAATCATATAAGTTAGTTAAGCTAACTGTCTGCTAAATGTTTTGCCCATATTAAATTAGCTTAATCAGTTTTACTGTTTTTTTTAGTTTTATTTGATTATTGGATATTATATGATGTTATATGACAAAAAATTTTATATCAGTCAGGCCCTACTACAAAGTGTGCATATGGTAGGTGTACCTGATAAAACTCAGCGGGTATATTATTTTACCATCTCATGATTCTGTTCTTATGTAAGGGAGCTGCTTATCTGTTCTTTTACTAACTTTATATGCCAGGTTCACGGAAAACAAGAGGAAAAACAGTGGTAGACAAAGGCAATTAGCTGACTGCTCCACATCACTGAACCACCAGGAGTGATGGAGATGTATAATGATACTGCAGAGAGATCTCACCAATTGCCCAGCAACAAAGAGGTGATGCTGCTGAAGAATGAAAGCAGGGGGGGTGCATCATGATGGATTAGAGATAGCCGAGAGAAAGCAGCTTTGAAAAAGAATGTAAGAGGAGTTGCTTTTATTAGAGCTGCAGCTACTCAGCCGTGGATCTCTCCTTTGTGTCCGTGGTGTGCATGTTGTCTACTGAATGCTGTAGTGGTCTTTTATGAAGGTAACCATGTGCGTAAGCATTCAGAACTGCACTATTTATAGCAGCACAGCAGGCAGAGGCCTGTATTATTCTGTGGCCTTCTCATGCATTCTCCAAGACTGACTGCTATTTTTGCTGAGTTTTCAGGGCTGCTGAAAGAAAAAGAAGTACAAGCTGACAAAGAACGTGGGAGCCATTGACTATACAAACCCTGTTCCACATTCACACCAGTGCCACCTTAAAAGGTCGACTCTAGATTGCTTGCATGATCGCCTCCCACACAATTCTCATGTGAAACACAGCAGACAGTGAGTGTTTATGTATAAAGTATTCAGAATCCACTGGTATTCACACAGCATGTAATGCCTCATAGAGCTTTAGTCTTGTTTCACTGTTGCTTTAACTGTACTTGGTGACAAGTTGTAGTAAACTGTAGTTTCGCTGGCCAAGAAGCCAAAGCTGTATAGTTGTACTGTAAAATAATGTAAATAGTTGTACATACTTTAAATGGATGTTGTTGGAAGATATCTTTTGTAAAATAAAATGTTGGAAAGTACCAAAGAGGTTGTAGTTTAATGCATTAAACATATGAAGAGCTTTGTTCCAGAATGCTGTATATTCATTTGTAACAATTTTGGAAGTAACAAATAACAAGAATAATAGCTGATGTATAATAGAAGACTAATTTTTATTTCTTTAACAAAGTGGTTTTAATCATAATATAGTTTTTTCTGTATAATTTATTTTCTGTAGTTTAAAGCCTGCTCCTAAAAACATACATGATGAAAAAAATTGTTGAAAGTGGTCTATAACGTGTTTTGGAACAAAACCCTTCATATGCAGTGTTTCACAATTCTCAATTATCATTTATTTTTTCCCTCTTAAGTTTCACTTATGACGTGTATGGAAGTACCATAAGAAACAGTCAAAATCCATTTTCCAATCACTCTTTATCCCTTAGAACTAAACAGCCTGTATTCGTTGCTTTAGGACTTGTATAAGTAAATGAGCTCTGTTCTGATTGGCTGTCCTATATTGTTTACATACATCAAACTCTAATTTTAAAAAAGTGAGGAAATTAGTTTTTTCCATGATAAGTCCCCTTTAATGGAACCGTTTGGGAAGTTCAAATTAATAGTTTTCCCCTTACCCCAGATACTGTCAATCAGCCAAGACACATTTGGTGTCCAATGCTGTCGCTTCAGTTTGGTGCTGGAGCTCTGAGGTTAATGTAGCTAACACTACAAGTCAGTAGTCACTCTAATCAACCTGCTGAAACTGTGTCCAGGTTTTCATTAAGGAAGTGCAGACTTGACTGTGTGGTTTACAACACAGTGCGATTTACTGTGAGCTATAAACATGAACAAAACTTCACCTTGCAACAGAAAGCTACTTTAGACAAGAGGTGTTGTTGCTGACTCCACATCACATAGGCATAAGGACCCTAGATTGCATTTATTTCTGTTGTTTATACACTGTTAGAAATAAAGGTTCTGTGCAGGTACATTTTTCGTTCATCAAGGTACAAACAATGTAAATGTACCTTCAAAGATACACCAGTGGTTTGAAGGGTTCAAAAGCTTGGAGACGAGACGGGGTGTGTGGAGTCAATTCAACTTAGAAAACAATTTCAGTGGATTATGGTCCAATTATGTTCCCTGACTAAAAGGTACTGAGATGTACCCTTGATGGTTTCATACCTTTATTTCGGAGAGTGTACTTATAATTTACTGGTAATCTTGAATTTTAATCTGAAGATACGTTTTGAAATAGAAACAACAGAAATGTAATCTAGCGCCCATATGCCCGTGATGTATGTGCACATTAAAGGAAATTAGATTGTGTAGGACATTCAGTGCTGTGTTCAACTACATGGCAAAGTTTTGTTCATTTTTATAGTTCACAATAATTCCTACTGTGTCCTAACCCACATCATGCAAGCTTGACGAAGACCAGGATGTGGGTTGAGAGAAGTTTTGGGGATGTATTCACAGAACAGATTTGGATGACGTGTTTGCAACGTTAGCCCTAAAGAAGCAAAATGAATACAAAATGTGTTTTATCAACTACATCAGTGCTAAGTGGTAAAACTGTATAAAAATGTTGTGTAAATATGATTTTTTGCCAAACCTTTCCTTTAACATGCTGAAGGAAACAGAATCAAAGATGAATGTAAGGGAACATAGTACATCTTTGGGTGAAACTATCAGGCCCATTATTTTACTTTTATATATAAATACCATAATATTCAGTCATAGTTGCATGAACAGTTTGAGTACTGTGTACTTTTTATTATGATCATCATTTCAGTATAAAAGGTAAACATTTTATAAAGGAAAACTGAATACATTATGAAACAAGCACATAAAAAAAAAAAAATCACAGTAAGCATAATTTGTTCTGTTTAACAAGACTGAAAAAAAGTCATTTGCAGCTATTTAGCATTTCCCAAAGTCAAACTGACACTGACAATCCATTGCACAATGTATTCTCCCTTAGTGTGGACCACATTATTAAGTTACAGTATGCAGCAATTAGTATTTAGCATATAGAAAAGGGGGGAAATGACAGAAGAGTCATATAGTGTGACACTAATCGCTCCTTAGAAATGATGAAGAACACTAAAACCCCAATAAGAGGTAGTTTAAAATGTCAGTAACATACAACTAGAAAACAAGTTAGTAAGCTTGTAACTTTTTCCCCACCATTAGGACAACTTCATGTTGGTATATCAATATAGTGTTAGTACAGTGTAGTTAATATAAACATATAGATACAGTTGTATGCAAAAGTTCAGGCACCCCAGTCAAATTATAGTTTATTGATTTTCTAAGTGAAAATAAGTCACGTCCTCTGCAGAGAACACTCCTGCACATTTCTAATGCATAATTACTGTTTATTAGCTAAAATTTAACGAATTGGAAAAAAATTCAACTTAAAATGGGGCCTTTTCCCAAAGATATGGCACATTTTATATTTTAGGTTTTTTTTTTCCAATGTGTTAAATTCAGATAATAAATAGAAATTGTGCATGAAAATGCCATATCTAACTTATTTTCACTTAAATCAACAAAACATAATTTGACCTGAGGTGTTTGAACCTTTGCATATGACACCTTTTTAAACAGGATAAACCTTTGGTGAAACTGCAATGTCTCCGTATTACATGAACACTGACAATTTCTTTTTTAATACAAATTTGGTATTCATCTTTTGCATATTTGCCACTAGTAACAATTTGATGGCTTTTGACAACACAACACTGACAGTAGCGGAGCAAATCAATAAAATGGACTGAATACTTCTCAAACAACAATAGTCAGTTCATCCTATACACATAAAAAAGGACTGAAAGAATGAGGACAGTTACCCTGAAGAGTGTACCTCCTCGAAAGGCCACAGCTGGCAGACAAGACCAAACTTGAACACACACACACACACACACACACACACACACACACACACACACACGACAAAGCAGTGAAAGAAGAAAGCCGTGTCCCTCTTTAAGTGGCTTTGTGGATGTTTGAGAGCGTACTGTCAGTCCAGCTGCCCACTCTCTGTCGGATGCGGCGGGTCTGCTGTTGGATAGAGGCTCTGGTCAATTTTCCAGAGACACTACTATGAGTGGAGCTATAGCCCTGGGTCATCACACTTTTATAGTGCTCCATGGCCTGCTTCCTGCACACACATGATTAAGAGATGAGCTTTAGTACTACAGGGACTAAAAACAGTTCTTGAAGTTTTTGTTTACACAAGGACCTGACCGATTTATCAGAATGGAGGAAATCCCACTATTAAGCACTGACAGTGTCACTTTAAATGTTACATATCACATTCAGTAATGCTGTTAGTTTGTACAACCACCAAACATAATTGTCAGGATTATTACAAGGTCTTCAAGATATGAAAGCCACACACCCCATCAAGACAGCAACTATGTGTTTTGAGCTGAGGTGAGTAGGCAAATGTTACCTGTTCTTTCCACACAATGAACAGTTAGATAAGTGCAATATTATATTATGTTATATTAAAATACTTGCAAAAAGCCAATTTTGATCACAGCAAAACAGGGATTTATGGTGAATCATAATTGACAATATCAATGAATAAAGCATGGTTTAACTGAAACTACTGGAGTCTGTTTAACTTCTAACCATGTAAAATGAAATCAGTTGACAATATTGGTTATCAGAATTTTTCACTTCTTTAAATTGGCTTCAATTTCAATTTTCATATCGGTCAGGACCTGGTGTACACCTAGGTTAAGGAGGAACAAGCTGTTTTTGGATATGCAATTCACTGCCAAATAAGCTGTATTAGCACACATAATTACTGCTTAAAAAGTGGACAGTTAAGCACAAAAGTTTGTGAAAAATAAAAGTACAGCAGCCCATGAAAGCATTTTAGTTGCTTATTAGTATGAAACATAAGTTCTTCATACATAAATGAAGCTGTGTTCGGCCTTCATGCATTTCAAAACATTCTGGTTCTGAAGGTGCCACTTTAGATCAGCCTTTGAAATGATTTTACCTTAATATTCACTCCGAGATGAGAGCGTATGTGAATTTGCTGGTGACAAAATGGAAAAGAAGTTAGCCTACATTTTTGCTTTTACATAAAATGCACAGACTCTCACTTAAAATGCATGAACAGAAAATGATAAAATGAAGCCAAATGGCCAGAGGGGGTGGTGGAGTAAGTCAATCTCTTGCAGCACACGTATAGGTCACAGCTGCCCCAGAGCCTTCTTCATTCTCTTGATGCTACAGGGCTTCATCATACTTAATAAAGTGCAATCCCCAGTTCAAAAGGCTACAATCGAAAATGTCAGTTATGTTTGAATTAAGTACCTGTTAACAAGGTGTAAGGCAGTATGCTAAACTAGATGTTTCTGTCCATCACACTGTTTATATGAATATGTTAATAAATATGTTACTGCTGAGAGTCTGGTGGCATCAAAAACATGAGTTTCGTAAATAAGATTTTTTTTTAATGCTGTGATTACATTAGCTATTAAAACCTCTCACCTAGAACATGTTCTAATGGTCTCACCACTACCATTCAAAAAACTTTGTTGATATCCATTTTATTTATTTATTAACATAATTTGAAAATGCCAGCTGCCATTTACACAGTGTGAAAACTAACAGACTACTAGACCTCTAAAGTCATGTACTGATACCCATATTAGCTGGATTTCTCCATGGCAAAAATGAATGGGATTTTTGCCCTGTGGTTTACCAAAAGGTTCTGAACTGGATACATTTTGTCCTACGTACATTTTTCCAGGGAAAGTCACTGGATCCACAGAATTGGGGTTGTTAAGAAATCAAAATATGAATACTGCTACATCTGTGCTATTAGCAAGCCAGCACTCCTGCACACTGAAATGATGTCACATAAAACTGTCTACTATTGAACTCCAACACTATTTAATACCAACACCAGCTACTCCTAATGTACTCCTCTACCGCGGAAGCAACTTAACTACCACACTGAACAAAGCTTGCTGATTTGTGTGGGGTATTTTTGTGGACTTGTCAGCTTTATGATGCCAATTCATTGCACAGCATCTAGCAAAATTTACAGTTCAGCTCCTTAACGACGTCATAATTTAGAGGATCTAGTGACATTCGAACAAATGAACACAGGATAATATGTATTAAGTTTGGAACCATTTCATTAACTGCAGGGTGTGACAGCATTTTCAAAGTCATTCATTTTTGCCATAGAGAAAATCAGTTTAAACCTGGAGTTTCTAATAAAGCTGACTAAAGAATGATGACCCGATTGCAGTGGTCTATAGATATGTTCCAAAATTAATAAAATTGGAATAAAATCTTGTTATATTAATTTACATGTAAAGAACGATATTCTATTTACATTTTGGAATACACTGACAAGATTACTATAGGTGGGAAAAATATCTATCACAATACTTCAATATTCAATAACTTTTATACTTTTAATTTCACAACACCCATAGCATGATATTCTGACACATAGACACAAGGCACTCATAGTGCTGAATTTAAAAACAGCCACCAAGAACTATGAGTACAATGATTTATGTTCAGTGTTTTACATACTGCACTACACTAAATCCAGTTAAACAAGACCATTTATGTTGGAGCCGCATGGAGATGGTCAGTGTTCAAGTACTGATGATATTTATGAAATACTCAGAAAAGCACAGTAACGATACAATATCATCCCAACACCCACTACTAAACATAAGTAGACAAAGCGCCAGCAGGTCAGAAATTCATGTAATGCTGGGTAAATGCAGATGAGAGAACAGCAGACGCTCTGTGTATTCGCTATATATACAGCAAGTCTGTCTGTAACAGATTATCATGACTTCCTTCCATGGGAAGGGACTTGGAGCAGTTTGAAAATCCTGGCGGGAGAAGAGTTATGTGTGGAATTCAGGGGGGTGGGGTACACAGCACAGCGATAAGGGGAGAATACTAGGAGCTATACAGACTGACAGTACAATAAGACATTCACATCCAAATAACACCCTGGCATTAATGCTTTGTTTTGACAGACCACTATAATGTGAATTTACCTAAACACATGAAGCCATAATAGTTGAGTACAACACTAAAATTGTTTAGTGATTAACAGTCCGACCTGTGTAAAAATCAATTGTACGGTGTAAACATACAGTTATAATTCATTATTACTAAAAAATAATAATAAAAAAAAAGTCTGCATGAAAACAAATAAAAGCATCCATTATTTTTTGTGTCTATTAAGCAGCATAACATATGTATGTGACAGCCCCTGGAAGTCGCCCCAAATCAGCAACAGACCCCACCCTGGTGTTAAACTCTGGGCAGGGAGACTTTTTAAAGGAGGGAGCTGTGGGGACAGAGCAGCTGCAGTGAGAGCAATCAGCCGTTGGAAAGCCAATGCACCCTGCCCAATCACAAACAGGAAACAGACCCACCACCAGGCAAAAACTGGAAAAACAGGATACAGGGATGTGAAAAGCTACTGTGTTTCAAGCAGAAACTTGCCGCGTTAGTGGACTGCATTAAAATTACTGAGATTTTCTTCAGCAGAAAAGTAGTCAGGCATAATGATGGTGTAAAGAAAGTCACTAGAACTTTAAAATGTGTTTATTAAGTCTGCTGTTTGAATCTTAGAAAAATCAACGTTCTTTGTGATTCTGCGGCTAAAGAAAGCATTAAGAACTCACCGGTCATCTCTACTAATGACATCATTGAAGGCCTGGGAGATACTCCTTAGTCTCCTGAGGCCTTTTGCTACACAGTCCAGATCCTGATCAAACTGCCTGGTACAGGAGAAGAAAAAGAACTCATAAACCAACACATACATCTCCAATTTTTACTCTTTGCTCTTATTTAGGGGTGCAAATCAAGCTTGGCAGATTGTTTTTATTGGTCATATTCCACTACTGGATAAATAGTTTCTCCACCCACATTTGAATATGCTAACGTGGTGAAATCTGAAACCGAACCATATTTTTAAGAATTGTAAACTAAACCGCAAGATCAGAGATTTGCACCTCTACTATTCTTGTTTCCAGAAAGTTCCAGAAAGAAAAAGGCTATTACTCTCAATTAAAATGAACAGTAAGTTCTTTTAAAGTCAACCTGAAATAAAAACTGACCTTTTTTACTTGGTTAGTTCATCTCCCTGGTCATACTAAGCACGATTCTAAAGTCCACCATCTATCATGTATCAATTCCCTAACATGTGTTTAGAAGCATCGCAAGCACAGAGGGAGAAGGAATAAAGAGCACAGATAAACATTCTGCATTCTATGCAGACGTCTTTTTTATTACTGCACACGATAAAACTGACAGACTAAATTTTCGTGAATCACCTCATCAAGCATGATATGAACATAAAATCTTGTGTAGGCTGTTATATGTGAATTATAGCTGCACTATATAAGTTTTGGGGATTTGCAGACCCCTTTGGTGTAATTGTGTACTTGCACATTACATGCGGAAGAGCATATAATTAAATCATAATTAAAACGTAATTAAAACGTAAAGACGTATGACGTGGTCTGGAAAACTCCTGCGAAATCCTTTCCGACACCACTGGCTTTTAAACTTTTTCCAGGATTTACTGGAGGCATGTCAAACTGGGGACCTCCCGGGCCAAAGTGCTGTGGAGATTAGCATTTACCCTCATCTAACGCTCTGAATTCAGCTCATGAAGGTCTTGCTCATTAGCTGATAAGGTGAATCAGGTGTGTTTAATAAGGCAGAGTGCTGAAGTGTTTCAGCCCGACACATACTTTACTGGGTGATTTGCAGTCATTGCCCATTGTATACTGGCAGATAAATTACTACGCTTGTGTAAGTTTAATAGAATGCAAATAATTTTAAAAATATTACATTGCTCAAAAGCAATGACTGAGTTAGCAGAGACATCCCAGATAATAAACCCACATAAATCCCTCCATCTTTGCATGTTATCCATGCATCTCTTCCTCATGACCTCAGAGGAAAGCTAAAATGCAAAGAAGAGATTTAAAGAATGCAGTTGAGGACTGCAGATGAGGATGCGTGGTTAAAGATATGACGCACCCAGTATGTTAAAGTAAGTTATTTTTATATGACATGACACAGTAGCCCATGAAGAATAGAAAGATCACTCACCTCCTGTTGGGTGAAGCGAATGGGCTTCTGAGAGCCGCCATACGCACCAGCTGTCTCCTGCCACCTCCTGTTCTTACAGCTCTCACATGAGCCTCTGGGGTGTGTGCTCCCCGAGGGGTACGCTTGCTGGCTGACCTTGGGGTACGCCTTGGGGTTACTGCTGAGCGAGACGCGGGCCGTTTTGGGGTGCATGTAGTCGTACCATCATTTTCTTCTCCTTCTATGATTTTTCCAGGTGTCCTTACCAGACACTCCTCACGTGATCCTAAGCTCCTCTGAAATTTCTGTGAGCAACAAAAATAAACAAATTATTTTTATTTGAAAATAATCACAGAGACTGTAGCCTTCTTGAGATATATATGTGTGTGTGGGAGCCCCTTGGAGGTGTTTCTTAAAAGCTGGATTTCTCAATTTAGCCAGATAACATCAGCCCAAAGTCAACCCTGTCCAATAAGAAAAGAGATACGAAACATTTCCATTTTAAAATCCTCATCTTCAGGCTTAAGTTGCTTTGTAAAGTGGGAGAGTGGGTTAATTTTTGTTTTCAATCCAGTACCAAGTAATGCTTTATAAGCCACATAAAGCGAATATCCCAATACCCACACAGTAAGAAAAGTAATTAAATATGAAGCAAAAATGTCATCAATCATTTATTCAGAGATATTAAACACTGAATGTGGTCTAATTTACCCCAAAGATTATAGGACGGCTAGTATTGATAGTCATGTGAGGATCGATTCTCAAGAAACGTGATCTGAATTACTGATATTTACGTATTGATCCGCTCATCCCTGCCCAAAAATATCCAGTCTGTGGTAAGAAACTGACCACTGATAAAGGGCTACAGGATGGCCAACACAAACTGTACATCACCGTATGGGCTACAGTCTCAGGTGGTGCTACACGTTGGGTGTAACTGGTGTTTCCGATAAAGCGGGTGTAATTTCTCTGGGTTCGATGGTAACGTACCTGATAGGCACTGCCAATGGAGTTCTTTGCAGTGCGCCTTATCTGGGTCACAGCGCCCGTCTTCTTGTTGATCTCGAGTGACTCCCAGGTGGGATTCTCTTGGACATTTGTGTTGGGCTGAACGGTCTTCAGGGGTAGCCTCTTCCGCAGGGACATCCTGAGAGAGTTTAGGGAGCTGGACGAGCGGAGCTGGCGGAGGTTCTGCTGAGGGGCTTCGGGAGAGCTGTCCGGCTCCGAGTCCGCGAGCACACTGTGCGCGCGCCACAGCCCACTCACTACAGCCGCCATACTGAGAGCTAAACAAAGAGGAGACTCAACCTGCGGGGAGGACAACAAAGCGGTACGGGGTGTGAATATGCGAATGACTGAGATTTATGGGTGTATATGGGTCCGACAGAGTGATTTTAGCTGAGTTCAGACTCCAGTATCCTCTGTTTTAGGTTTAAACTTTAACAAAGTGACTTTAGTTGTCAGACAGTGACGGTTCCTGTTCTCCTCAGGTTAGCAGCGCTGGACAACGGCTAACTTCTCTAAACGGACGGTTAGTTACCAACCACAGGGTTCAAAGCTAAAGTTAGCTTCATTTTCGAAGTTTCTGTTCCACCTTTTCAGATATTTCACTGGCAGAACTTTATCGTATACAAACAAAACACAGACTGGAAAAAAAGATGTGCAGTTCATTTGGAGCTCGTGGGTGTCTCTGTTACTCTTAACGTTATGGCATTTTGTGTCGCATCAATTGTAGGCGAGCTAACTTGAGCTAACTTTACAAAGCTGGGCTTGGCTTCTTATTCAAAAAAATCCGTTCCACCTTAAATAGTGTAGCAGTTACACTACGACGACTCCAGAATGTAACTGCTGCCCGATTTAATGTGGGACGGGAAAATGTGAATGTGAAGTTGACTTCAGCTTCGTAGCTAAATATAATGTTACATATTAAACTTTGACTAGTCGTGGGCGTAAAACAGCGTTTCCCCACAAATATGTGCACATTATCCGCAGAGAAACACAAAAAGACGTTGACTTAAACGGGTAGCTTACCGTTACTCGTGTGTAGCGTTTGCTGTGGCGACTCTCTGCAGCCTTTTTTTTCTTTCACTGTTTGAATTTGGCGGACCTGCCTTACACGAGACACGCAGGACCACCCCAAACCCCGCCTCTGCTCTTCATTGGTCAAAAATGCAACACACGCTTTTATGATTGGCAGGTTTAACCTCCTAAGTCCCGCCCATTGTTCTGATTGGTCAAATATTCCGTCATGCCGCAATTAAAATAAGACAACTAGGCCAAGAAGGAGTGAAGAGGCGCTTCATTGCTCTGCATTGTTGTATTTATCCCAGCAGTTGCTGTATTGTTATGATAAACGGATCGTTTCCTATTTATTCATATCACCAGTTACTTTGTAACTCTTGAATACAATGAAGACTTTGCATTCTGTTAAGATGGGGAGAATGTTTTATTTTTTCTGTATTAAAACCAAAACGTCTCTCTGAGTAAACACACCACAGAAATGTTTTAAGGAGAAATGCTGAAAATATGTGAATTTTAGAGAGTGAAAAAATGACAGTCAGCTGTATTTTGAAATATGATTTGAAATACGTAATGGTAGGGTTGGCAGGCCATTTGAGGGCGAGTCTGTATCAAGATGAACACAATATAACCCAAACCATATATTTAATTTTTTATTTAAGAAGATTTTAGTTTATTTTAACATATTTTATTTGAACAAGACAGTGTTTAATTCACTAAATTAAAAGGAGGTTGTTTATAATGAATTGTGATGTTTTAATGTAGGCTAATGAAGGGAAAAAATTAAATTGGTTAAGTAAATATTTTTCTTATTAATCCTAAATACAAGTCAGTGATAAATTAAACATTCTGTTGTTTAATTGTTTCAAAATGTGATTCAGTTGCAGTTGAGTATTTATATTTGTGGTTTGGTTTAAAAGTTCAGTTTATTTCCATTTGTTGCTTTATTCTTTGAAGCTAAGGCATTTAATGTTGCACCAACCAACCCTTAGAACATGTGCCAACCAACCCCATGTTGCACATTACAAGTGCATGACATGAATATAGTAACGAGGGCACTAATTCCAGGAAATATTTTCCAACATTGAAATTGTCTGTTTTTAGATACGATGTTTAGCTTTCATTTGATTCTTCCCTGCAATCACTCACAGAAGACATAAACCACACAGAATGTAAACAAGTAATTGAGAATCTTGTGTTATTTTATTGAAGAAATATTTGTGCATCAGAGATCAGTCAACCGACACATGACATGACATATTTATTTAAACATATTAACCCCCCTCCCAAATAAATATACATAATAGTTCAAATCATCAACAGTATTTTGCTTTTGTTCTTCATTATTTTACTGTACCACAATGTCTCCATGTTCAAATATACAGTGATAGCAGGGCGTGAACTGTGGGAGGCGCTGCTGCTGCTCTAATCCGCCACTGCCTCAGTGGCGCTAACAGAGATTTTCTAACATAACAGGAGACGGCAATGCTCTGCTGTTTAGTCTTGGGGTAAAGTGTAGCGCCGACTCAGCCAATCATATCAGACCTCATAAATTGTAGGCCAATCATATCAGACATAGTAAGTTATAAGCCAATTGTGTCAGACCTGGGGGAGGGTCTCTAGTGCTGCTCACTCTATGAAGTAACATCAGTCGACAATCTCTGGAGCTGTGACAGGATTTTAGCTAAAAGCTAACAAAATAAAGATTATGCTTGATTCAAGATATATATAATATACAGTATGAATTAGTAAGTAGTTACAGAGTGAAGATATCCACCTACAATACGGATTTGTGCAAATGGTGGTCAGTATAGATGGCTATCGAGTTTTTAGTTTGCTTGTTAGTTAAGTTTAGGATCTCGTTAGGTAAAGAAAAGCAGATAGGCCATAAAGCTTGAACCTTAGCGAGCTGAGGACCAAACTATTTTAAGAATTTAAATAAACTTCTCAAGTTTTTTGTTTTCATAGTATTTTGAAACAGTCACAACAGTATTAGCTATATATTGTTTTTAGTATATAGATAATACTGGTGTTGTGTTGACCATAACTTAGTTTTATATCTCTGAATTATTCAGTCTGTTGATGGTAATTAAGAGGTGGCAGCTACATAGGAGGTCAGTCAGGTGAGATTTTTGCCAGTTAAAAAAAAATGAAGTAAATGATTCTTGAGTTCTTGTAAATCTGAGTTTAATAAAAATAATGTTACTAAACAGGTGAGGAGAGGGAGAAAAAGAAGCTGAAGGAGACTGACAGAGCTGAAGAAGTCTGACAAAGGTTAGTGATCAAGAAGAAAGTGAGTCAGTATTTAAGCTTTCAGTTAAAATTAATACTGCAGTTGTAGAAACCTTAATAAATCCTCATTTGTGAGATTGAATCAAAAACAATAGTTGCATAAAATTTATTTTTTCGTGCTGTCACATGTCATGATGGGCCTAGACCATTAAACCTGTAAGCACAACTACAAAACAAAATCATGCTCTTTCTGACTGCACAACCTGAGACTATACCAATTTGTAATCTTTGTATTTGAATGACATATTTAGCAGCTTATTTAAGAGAGTGGAGATAGCAGTGCTTAACTTTAATACCTTTGTTTGATCTGTGGTCTGTGTAAGTATACAGATATAGTATTCAATTCATAAAAAATCTATGCTTAATATGAAGAGACAGATTTTCAGATTCAGATTTTTGATATAATTTTTACCTATTTCTGAACAGACATTTTGGGGCCATTAAAAACATCCTCCAGAGGGAGCATGCCCCCAGGAAGATGTTTGGTTTAGCAAGTTCCAAGGTTTAGGCCCTCTATTCATAAACGTCTGTTGATGCCGTAATACATTATGAAAAACATGCAGGTGTTCTAATGAATTCAAGGAAAAATCTTTGACCTTGACCTTGGGAATTTATCATCGTTAGAAGTTCTTTTTATAGGGTTTATATTGCCATGCCATATATTGCCATTTAGATACAAGGCTGTGAACGTGGCAAGTGTGGCACTGTCTCTTTTTTACGCAGCAGCAGTCAATGTATAACACCTTTTTAATGAGCCTCAGGGAACAATTGCACAATGTCTTTTGCCTGTGGATGCACAAGTTGTAAAAGAATAAAAAGAGGTTTCCACCCAACTTTTATGGTTTGTTTTCCTCATCATGTTCCTCAAAGCTGAAAAACAGGGCTCGATGCAGACAGTCATGAGTGTGTTTTCACTCTTTAATTAGGCATATAAGAGTTTCATTTGAGATGTTTTGTTTCGAGAATGTCCCATTTGTTATTGAGTGTTGTTATACAGTAACTGTAACTTGCATTCCAGCAGGTCCGGTCTGGTATTCCTCTGAGTTCAACGGCCGTGGTTTGAATTCCTGAGATGGTGGCTCACTAATGGCGAACTTTTTTAAAGCACTGCAAGACAAAAAAGGAAGAGACCCTTTTGCTCAACATAAGAGGAGAAGACATAACAAAGAATTTCATGAGAACATATTGAAAACCATGAAAATGGATGTTTTAAATTAGGGGCAACTGTGGCACTAATGTTTTGCTGGTGCATTTTGTTTGCTCCAACCTGTATTATATATCATGAAAATGTCTTAAAATATTGTGATATTATTTTAAAATAATCTGTTTAATGTGAATCATCTATAGTCTTCAACAATGTATAAAAAGTTCTGCTATTCTCCTGTTACCAATGTAGTATGTTACCTTTGTAATTCTTTCCCGTCTGGAAAAGATAGCCAGCAGGATTGTTAAGACCACCACAACCAGGCCGGCAATCGTGGGCCCCAGAGGGAACTTCATTACTTTGTCTGTTTGTAAGACAAAAAGCAGAATTTACACAGGGGTTAGTCATTATATTTTGAAACGCAGACCTGGTTCAGCTTTATAATATGCTCAGAATACAGCAGTATGTCATGACTACTTAAAGCTGCACTTGTATAATTGTATAATTTTTTTGGTGATAAGTAGCAATAATGAGTCTGCATGCAATTACACATTTCCACCAGAGAGGTCTCCAAATCTTACATAATGCAGCTTTAAAAGTGACACTATACTACTTCCTTTCTTCCCAAAGCTCAAAAGATTTTCAGTTTAATTGTTGAAATTCCCTTTTTCACATCTCACTGATCTTCACAGATTGTTTTATTATTCTTAAAATGCTACTCCAGAATTCAATATTTCTCTTTTTAAATTTGGAAATCCCTGACTGAACTTTTCCTGCTTAATTGCTTCTTTCATAAAATATGAATTATGAGGCATGAAAGAATATCCAGTAAAATGCATGTTACAGAGAAATAATATCACTAACATTAACCTGATTGACAATGAAAAACCTTAGGCCTGTATTAGGGAAGAGCAACAACAGTGATATATTAGCAGCTGTTTTCCAAAACATTCGAAAATCTGAGCTTATAAACAATGACCAAAAATTACTCATACTGGGAAACAGCTTTGTCAAAAAATGATTATGTCTGTAACAGTGATTAAACCTAATGACATAATGTGAGACATAGAAAAACATCATAAACTGTGGCATGATTTCTGAGAAGGTATAATTTATAGACTGTCTGGTGAGAAACTGTGAAAAATATGTTATTTAAGGAGACACAAACCATCAACAGTGATGATGAAACTCTTGCTCTTGACTCCGTAGATGGAGGAGGTTGCCACGCAGCTGTACAGGCCCTCATGTTCTTCACGTTTAACGTTGGAGATGGTGAGCTTAGCAGTAATGCCATCGTTGCTGGTGTGGTATGTACTGGAGGAAAGATCCAGAAGAGCACCACCCTTCTTCCAGACTACAGTTAGTGGAGGATAAGCACGGACATCACAGGACAGAACAATGTCACTTTCCTCTTCAGCCCGTAGCTCCTCACTTCCATTCAGGTCAGGGGCATCTGAAAGAGATCACACAAATGAATGATAATAGTAATAGTAATAATAATCACAATAATACTGTTAATTTTTTGAATGTATTAATATTAATTGAATGTATACCCATATAAACATCTTAAATGCATTAGTGTTATTATCAGTAGTCTTTCTAAGCTAAATAGAGGGTGCTAGACCAAGTAAGGCTTAAGGTTATATTCCTAAAATTAAAGGTGCCAAAAATGGTGCTTTGGAAGAACCACTTTTGGTTCCCTAAAAACCTTTCAGTGGGTGGTTCTTTAAGGATGAAGTACGTAAGATTGTTAAAATTGAAGTACCGTTACTGAGTCAGGAGAAAAAAACTGAGTTTTTCGGACAAAGTCATACCTGTTTACACATCACATGCACAGACTCAAAAAAAGGTCCAGGTCAATTTTTAGGTCTTAAATGCAAATTCAACATTATGCTAATGACAATATGATGACAAAGGTAGATAATTCACTTACATACTCAGAAAACGCTTCACCAAGTTTTGATTAAGTTCTCTTTAATGTTCTTTCAACATGCTAGCAAACATCAGATTCATCTGCTTGGGGAAGGGGTCTGAAGTACGACATATTCACCAGAGGGGTCTCCAAATATCCAAATCTGACATAGTGGAGCTTTAAAGAACCAGTTTTGTAAAAGAGATGTGGGTATGTGAAGAACCTTTTTTAACGAACCTCCACGTAATGTAATGATGAGCTGAATCATGAGTGTTTGATGAGGCAGAATGGTAAACTCCACAGTACTGTAACCCAGAAGCCAATCAGTTTGACACTTTAGCTGTAAATGTTCTATATCTATATTTTTCCTAGATATATATCAAGATGTCCAAGCCAAGAACTGCCTAAGAACCCTTCTTTGTAAAAGTGCAGAAGGAGGATTGCTCCTGAAGAATTGTTCTCTGTTAACAGATAAGACTTTGAAAGGAGCCAAACTTTTTGGCCTAAACTAAGAGAAATGAGGCTGCTCTCCCAGAAACTTTCATCTGTACTCAAGCCATTTTTCATCTGAACTTACAATTGACCACCAGCTGGATGGAGGCTTTCCTGGTAGCATTGGCTTTTAGCTGGCAGGTGAAGAGGGCTCCATTATCGTCTGTGGTGACGGGATGTACACACAGGTGACTCTCTTCCAGGCTGTTTTCATCTTTGAGGCTCACTAGTTCTCCATTGCGGTACCACTGCAGTTCCTCTCCATCAACAGGGTCCTGAACCACACAGCTCAGAGTCACAGTCTTATTCACTTCTGTCTCAATGGAGCTCTCATTTGCTGATGGATTGGACTGAATGGTAACTGCTAAATTTGATAAAGCACAAATTAGGGCAGAGTTAGAAAGACACAAGCAATGGATGAGATTAGATAATCCACAGAGTCTGGCACTCACACTGACACAGTGTAAATACATCTAGTGATTAACTTGCACTACCAAAAGGCTGAGGCTTTAGTTGTACAGTTTACAAATTTAGAATATCTGCAGTACTGTAAGTCCCATAATCTCCCAGTGTTTTCAGTCCCAATTCAGGAGTTCCTCCCCATTGTGCATGAAAGTAATATTGCCAATTTATATAAGGAGTAATGAGTAATGTATTTTATATTATGTATGTATTTTTTTGTGTTAGATACCAAAGCACTAATAACAGACAAAGCTCTGATCAACTGTGTTAACATGTAATTTCTAGAATATTTGATAGTCTATTTTGGTGGAATGTCTTATTTATAACTAATTAGAGCTGTTGTTTTCATACCTATCCTTGGGACTCAATCATCTCAAGGTACCCTGGACATATTTGTCCAGTACAAAATACGGTACTTTGCTAATTTTTTTAGTTTCAGTATTTCTTAGTTAATCCTCGTACATAAACTGGAGGCATTTTGTAGTTTGTGTTATTTTTTTGCCCATCTCTGCTCTCAACTTGTGAGCTAATTATCAAGCTTTTCATGTGCTGAATCAGTATGAGGGGACTTTAGGTCAGCGGTTGGGAAACACTGATGTAAATGATTTAGCTTAACCCAAGTAAAATGTCTTCGAAATTAAGAATATTGTATGTATACAAGGGTTTACGTTACATTACATACTCCACATAATGCAGAGAAATCAGCTTATACCAGCTTAAACTCCACCGGAATGGTGATCTATAAATATGCTTCTGTAAGATGTACGAGTTAATATTTAGATAGCAGCTGATGAGCACTGTATTGCACCATGAGGGTAATTAGTGAGACAGTAGCATACAGAAGCTTAGAGTATTTGTAAACAAAAGAGCTTCAGAAGCTAAAGTTACTATATATATAGTATATATATCTTCACTGTCAGGACTAAACCTTGTATATTCATTCACACTGTGTCAAAACGTCATGGTGAATAGTCCAAGAGAAATGGTCCAAAATTAAAATAAACTTTCATTAAGTTTTATCCAAAGTTAAGCACTTTTTTTCCTGAGTTATCATTTTGGAGAGACAAGGTTTTGTCCTGACAACAAATGTCTATGTTAGCGTTTGAAAGCTTAAAATTACTTCTAATATGAATTATTTTTGCTATTTTACATACAATAATTACATACACGCTGTGGACTTAGTACAAACTATTTGCCAACTATTTGTGTTTTTAGATGTTATATTCAATATTTCAAGAATTTTGTGAACATGAACTTTTACACCATATATATATATATAAAGCACTTTGAGCTGCATTTAATGTATGAAAGGTGCTATATAAATAAAGATTTATTATTAGATTTCACACAATTTGAAAATGCTTGTTGACTGTTACATTGTATGTAAATTTCATGATGAATGGACCAAAAGAAATGGCCCAAAATTACTTGGAAAGAAATCTGGTTCCATTGGCTTACATTAAAAGTAAAGTATGTTTTTTCCTTCTCCTGTAAAGTTACCATTTTGGAGCTACGTAGGTTTTGTTCCAACAGCAACAAGATACATATATATGAAGAGTTTTGTCCCAAAATGCAGTATAGACCATTTTCAAAATGTTCTTATTTTCACTTTATTTGTAAATATACTTTGTTGAGAGTGGGCTTTACACATACAAGAAATATCAGTGCTATATTATGATAATACCATGCTTATTAGAAAATTAAAAATCTCTAATAAGCATTAGCTGTCTCTCTCCAAAAAACTCCACATCTGCAAAATTGTTACAAATGTAAATACAGCATTTCATTTTACATGTCTTCTTTGTTTGAGCAAAATTTTGTATTTCCCAAACAGTAACTTAACAACCTTAACTTGTAGTGGAAGGTAATGTAACATGAGTTATTTTGGAGAATTTCTATTGGTCAGTTCATCATGAAATTTTAACAGTTTAACTGTAGTTTTTGAAATGTGCAAAAAAGCAAGAAAAATATTTGGAAAAATTACAAGAATAGAGATACAAGCTTTTTGCTCAGCATATGAAATGCATATATTAACTGTATATTTGATTTTCAGGGTAGTGTTTACTGCTTTGCATGTATTTCTCACCATCAGTACAGCAGATACTGTAGACACAGGAGAGCAGGAATAGCTGGATACTAAGTGACAGCTTCATTTTTCACAGTCTTCTCTGTCGTCTTGAATCACAACCTGAAAGAATGTGATAAAACCTGCACTTTTCTCATGTTCTGTTCAACTGTTTCAATCACAAACATTCCTCAAATATCAAACTAGATAGCTGCTCAAAAAATTAAAATCTTTTGACTTTGATTTGTACAAAATATTTTGTAAGTTGTAATTGAACCACAGCAAACAGAATATTAAAGCAGTTTTTAGGAATAAAGGAGGAATGTGACAGTAGCACAGGAAGACTTCTGAAAGAGAAGATCTGACTGTAATATTCAGAAACACTAAAATCATTTTAAGCTACTTACCAAGGCTGCATGCAGTGACTAACAAAGCTGTCGGGGAATCCAAAGGTTACTCAGCAGAAGTCTGAGAAGGCTGGAGTGTTTTCAGCAGGTCTTTATATTCTGCAGGTGAGCTGCTTTATAGCAGATTTACCACAATCACCTCTCCTTCCCTCACGGTCACAGACCTTTTGTAATAATGCTATGCAAATACACTGAAGGTGGCTCAGGCAGGGCCACTTTATATTCTCAGAATGAGTTGTGGAGGATTTCTGAGATTTCCTTACGAGGGGAGATAAATATCATAAAGACATAACACTAATGTCATGAATACTGACATTTCAGATAACAGGAATTTGACATTCACATAAAAGTATGAGATGTCATTGATCTGAGTGCATCACAATACATATCTGATTTCTATCTGTACATACACTCATAAAAGTAAAGGGGCCAAAAAACATTCTTTGAAGAGATGCAATAGAAGAACCGCTTTTGGTTCCCTAAAGAACCTTTTAGTAGATGATTCTGTAAAGAAACGTTTTGTAAATGAGATGTGAGTGTGAAGAACCTGAAGAACAAAATCTAAAGGTTCTATAAGAGTTAAAGGTTTTTAAAACCTTTAAAAGGTTCTTCACACTCGTACATCTCATTTACAAAAATGGTTCTTTATGGAATAATCTACTGAAAGGTTCTTTAGGGAACCAAAAGCCTTGTTTTCATATTTTGATGTTAAGTTGTTAATGTTTGCACCACGTGTACAGCTTTTTCATTTCAAGGTCAAGGTTGAGATTCAGTTCAGTTTTCTGTACTTTGTACGTTTGAATGTTAAAAATTATTCCACAGAGCTCTAATTATAAACTACACAGATTCGTTGGCTCAAAGAAATAAAAGTTCACTGACAGAACTTTTTTTAATGCCTGCCGCTCTGCCCTCTAAAAACATAAGCCCCCAAAAATCACAACCCCTAGAATTTATAGTTGGCTTATAAAAGGCCCAGTCTTTTGAGCGTGGGGATGCGCATAACATAAGCCCCTCCCATTCTCAGCACTCTTTGCTCCGATGGGATGCACCCAGGTGTCTTGTTGACAGTGGTTTCTATGAAAGATGATACATGAGTACAAAACTCATGTTCTGTTTTTTCCCATGTGTTAAACTCTGATTGTGAATTGTGCTCTAAAATTTGCAGAAAAAGTGCCGTAAGTTAAGTGTGTTCTCTGTGTGGATGTGATAATTTACTTTTACCTAGAGTTGACTGAGACTTTAATTTTGTATGTTTCAGTGTGGCCTTTTCATCATTCAAAAGCCTGTTTAGAAGTTCTAGAAATATCATGATACTACTTCTCTGAGTACTGATATTGAAATCAGTATTGCCCTATAACTTTGTAAAAAAGTTGGAACAATATGTAAAATGCCAATAAAAGCAGAAAGCAGTGATCAGTAAAATCTAATTCTCTTTGACCTGTAGTAAATTGAAAACAGTGCAAATAACACAGTATTTGATGTTTTACCTTATGAACTTTGCAAAAATGTTTTTTTGTTTTTTGCAAATATGTGTTTGTCCCAAATATGATACATGCAACGTTTTAGAAAACTTGGGACTGGAGCATGTTTACCACTGTGTTACAATACCTTTTCTTTTAACAACACTGAAGATTGGACCAACTGATTCAGTGTTGAAGATGCAATTTTTTGCCATTCTTACAACCACATGGGGCCTTTGTTGTCATATTTTACACTTCATAATGCCTCATGCTTCTTCAATGGGAGACAGGCAGGCCAATCGAGCATCTGTCTTCTCTGATTATGCAGCCATGTTGTTCTAACATATGCAGAAGGTTTCGTGGCACCATCAAATTGAAATAAGCAGCGATGTCCTTAAAAAATCGGCTCTAAAATGCAGCATATGTTGCTTCAAAATGTGTTTCTTTCAGTGTTAATGGTGCTTTCACAGAGGTGCAAGTTACCCATGACATGGGCCATACTAAACTCCAATGCTATGACAGATACTGGCTTGTGAACTTCACGCTAATAACAGTCTGGTTGGTCCTTTACCTCTTTAGCCCAGAGAACATGACGGCTATTATTCCTTAACCAAACTGAAAGGTTGGCTCACCAGATCACAATACATGCTTCCTCTGTATATCAGTCTGTTTCAGATGAGCTCAAGCCCAGAGAAGTCTTCAGAGTTTCTGGATGTCGTTAACATACAGTGTCCACTGTGCACAGTACAGTCTTAAGTTGCATTTGTGGATGCAGCGACAGTCTGTGTTTATTGACAGCTATTTCTAAAGCATTCCCAAGCCCATGCAGTGATGTCCACCACAGACACCTGCTAGTTTTTAATGCAGTGTCTTCTGAGTAATCGAAGGTCATGGGCATTCGCTTGTGGTTTTTCGCCTTGCTTTTTATGCACAGATATTTCTCTGGATTCCCTAAATCTTTTGATAATAGTATGCACTGTCAAAGGGGAAATACCTTGTTCTTAAACATTTGGACTGTCTACTGATGCAAGTGACAAGCCTCAGCCCACCCTTGCTCATACAGGACAAGACCTTTCGTGTAATACCCAAGTTTTTTTCAGAATAAGTGCATGTTTACAAAAAAACAATGAAGTTGATGAGATAAAGCATTAAATGTCTTGCCTTTGCACAGTTCTTTTGTTAAAATACAGGCCAAAGTTGATTTATAAAGCACTGTTTTTTTATTGCATTTTACATACTGTCCCATGATTTATAATAATATTTTTTAACTGAAGCACTTAAGATGAGCATCTAAACTATTTAGTCACTCTGTTGCAACAGAGGAAGAAATACACAGCTAACAGCATCACACAGTGTGAATGTGGGACATTTTAGGCTAGATTTGTTCCACACTCTTAAAAAATAAAGGGTCATCAAGGGTTCTTTCGTGAAAAAAAAGGTTCTAGAATGAACAGTGAACAATTACAGAACCTTTTGCATGATTAAAAGGTTCTTTTCATCATAAAAGGGGTTTTCAGATTGATAATATGTTATATAATATAATATGTTAAAAAGGGTTCTACATAGCACCCAGAAGGGCTCTTCTGTTGTTACAAGCTTGACATCATAATAATAGAAGAACCCTTTTGGATGCAATATAGAATCCTTTTCAAAAAAGTTCTAGATAGAACCATCTATAGCACATTCTTAAGAACCCTTTCATGATGCAAAGAATCCTTTAATCATGGTTCTTTCTAGAACCATTTTCTTTACTAAAGAACCATTAAAGAGCCATCTTTTTTAAGATCGCTGGACTGGTTCGGATTAATTCTGTTTCCTCTGAAATCTGATCCAGATCTTTGGCGTGTCCAGTTCTAGTGGTTCCTGGTTGCTGTAATTTGCCCTTTCCCTTGTATTGCTTTATGTCATGTTTGCTTTGATGAAGCATTTTTATGTGAGTTTTCCTTGTAAATAGAAATGCAATGTCACCACCAATAAAATAACCTTGACAAGGTCCTCTGTGTCTAGCAGCTGGATTCAACACTCTAATATCACCGTTGTATGCAAAAGTTTGGGCAAATGACATGTTTTGCTGATTTTCTAAGTAAAAATAAGTGAACACATGCTCTACTGGACAGGCAGGGAATATTTTGAATGTTACTAGGCTCTTGAGCACAGCAGGAGCTGATGTTCTTTAAAAACATTTTTTTTTCTGACATCATGGCATCCAGGGAGTGTAAAATATTAAAAGTAATAAGTGTTTGTATGATACTACAATTAAGTATAATAAGCGTCCAGCAAAGCCTGAATGAACAGAACAAGACAGAAATATGATGACACTGCTTTAATCAACAATAACCAGTGGAACTACCAACATTTCAGAAAAAAAAACAAGTTTGTAATTATGCTTGGTAGATGTTCGATACTAAGTTCGACAACCAATACTAGCAGAGATCTGATTTTCATTGGGAATAATTTCAACTTAAGTCATCTAAAAATATCAGTCTATCTGCACTAAGACAGGACATTAGAGCAATGACTTTTTGCTATGAACCTTATCAGTTAAACTTCACTCTCATCTCACACCAAACTACCAGGAATGTAACTGTACAATGTATCGTATTGTTCTATTTGAGCATTTCAATTTAATACTCACAGGCATCAAACTATACATTCAACAGACTGGAGCAAATAAAGTTTAATACTGTTTATATTGCATGACGTATAATACAAATTACCCAAGCATGCCCACAGTAAGGGCACATGCCCCCTCCTCTAAAAATATTGCTTTGTTTTTTATCTCAGAGTTAAGAGCAGGGAAGACCAGCACACTCCTCACAAGTACTTATGAGCTTGTGGTTAGCAAATTATTATGAAATATATTAATGTTGAATGCTCTAACAAACTGAAAAAAAGAAGATTCACAAGCACTTCCTATTTTTTTCTGTATGAAAAATGTCTCAAATTGAGACCACCACATTATGAATATTGCACAGAATTATGAATTTTGTGAATTGTTACACCCAGAGGTGTAATTTCCAGGGGAGATAAGGGGGGTTGCAACCCTCTCGATAATTATAAATCAGCCATGTAACCCTTCTCAATAATTATTTGGTAGTAAAACTAAATAATAAAAATATTGGTTTTACTGATATATTAAACGGTATTGTACATACATTTATCAGTATTCATATGCTGATATTGCAAATATTGATTCAAATATTTTGCTAGCCCCTCCTCCCTGATTCTCAAAAGACTTGGTTGGTCTGGATTATCAATATTTACAATTTGTCGCTGTCAAATCCAGTAGCAGTATCTGACCATTGGACTTGGACTTATCTAATGTACTCTACTATATCACTTGGAAGAGGGTGGGTTCTCTAACTTTGTTTGACTAACCATTCATACCTCCCACCCACCTAGTGTTTAACCCAGTGTTACACCTTTGGTTACACCCACCTCAGGAACCTTCAGTCTGAACAGGACTTATTGCTGTCCTCTCTGCTGGGAAATGTCTTAATTACAGAATTTATTTGGTACAGTTATTAATTCCACAACATGAACCCCCTTAGAAATCTAGAGTTACCTCTGTTGCTTTGCTGTGAATGTAAAGACATAATAACATAATTTATTACAGAGCTACTTATGTGACTAATTGCACTTGCAGTTACATTTACAATACTGTATTGACAGATTTGAGTCTGCTCTTTCTGTTCCTCATGATAGCTAATGACAAACACGT